AGAGGCAGGAGGACCTCTGTGAGTTCAGGCCAGCCTGGTCTACATATTAAGTTCCAGGACAGCTGGGGCTACAGGGAGACCCTGTCTCAAAAAGACCAAAAAAAATATATATATATATGTGTATGAATGTCTTGCCTGTGTGCATGCAAGTGCACAGATGTCATGCAATGCCTGTAGAGTCCAGAAGAGGGTATCCAATCCCCTGGAACTGGAGCCAAGGATGTGGGTGCTGGGATGGAACCCAGGTCCTTTGCAAGAGCAGACACTGCTCTTAACCTCTGAGCCATCTCTCCAGCCCCTTCCTCCTTCCTTCCCTCCTTCCCTCCCTCCCTCCTAGACAAGATCTCACTATGCAGTTCTGGCTGGCCTTGAACTCAAACAGATTCACCTGCCTCCACCTCCGGAGTACTTACTTTTGCTGGTCTTAAGGAGTGGTTTTTTTCCCACTCCTCTGTCAACAGTATTTCCAACTGCTCCTGAATCTGAATACCTGTCTAGAGGGTCACCTGTCCCACACCTGAAATTAACAGCCCTTGGGACCTTAAAGGAATGAGGTGGACATGTCTACCCTAAGCCAGCCGACACTCATACTTTTCCTGAACTGTCTCTTCCTCTCCCTCTGTTCCCTTAAGGACCCAGATTCCAGGAACGAGAAACTGCAAATCATGACCTTTTTCAGGGTTGTCACATGGTGGGACTCAGCAGGAACAGCAAAGACACAGTCCTGAACTCCTGTCGTTTGCCTAGAATGTCCTGGAAAGGGGAGTAAGCACTCTTCTCAAAGTCCTGACACATCAACTGAGATTACAGGTACTCAGGACTCCAGCTGCCAGACACAGCACCTATTACAGTGTCTCTGTAAAGTTCATCGGGATCTGATGGAAAAGCAGGCTGCTCAAAGATAAACAGGACCTAGGCCATCCTCAAGGAGACAATGTTACCATCCTTCCCTGGTCTGCCTAGGCCCTACCATTTAGAGTGCTTCCATATTTGTTTGAGCCCTACAACAGCTCAGTGAGGAATGTCACCCAGGGCTCAATACTCAGACCTCTTTCTAATAAAGGCACACAGGGATTTGCCTCACCTTGTTTATGTGCTCTGCCCATGTCCCCTTTTAGATAAAGATTTAATTTAGGGGGTGATATGGGTGGGGCTGGCAGGGATATGGGTATACTCAGGGAAGGAGGACAGGTCTGTCACTGAGCAGTTAGGGGAAGGGAAGGAAAATAACAGGTTGGGGATAGAAATAGGTAAAGAGGACATTTTGGATTCAGTGTATAAAAGGTCCTTCTCATTCATGGAAGTGTTTGGGTATTATTACCCGAATGGCTTCTACAGGGGTCAGGTGAGCAACAAAAAAGCACATGTTGAGTCAGGAATACAACAGATTGATCAAATATTGGTGGCTCGGTGGTTAAGGGAACCAGAGTTCAGTTCTCAACCCACATCAGGTGGCTCATAACCCCCTGCAACTCTAGGTCCAGGGGATCCAATGCTCTCTGGCCTTCAGGGGTATGTGTATGCACCTGGTGCACATAAACTCATGCAGGCACATAGACATACACATAAAAATTATTTTTTCAAAAGTTCAAATGTTAAGCACTCTGCAGCCTTTTATTCTCTGCACATTGACCAGTTGTAGGTTACTGTGTGAATCACCATCCACTGCATGTGGCAACATCTCTGGTGAGAGTTGAGAGATGCATTTATCTTATGTGTGAGGTTGTAGTGAAGATGTGTCAGTTAGGGCTAAGCATCTCACAGACACTTATTCTCTGCATCTGACCAGCTATGGAATTCTGTGTTAGTTTCCATCTGTTGCAAAAAGAAGTTTCTTTGATGAGTGGTGAGAGGTACACTTGTCTGTAAATATGAGGATGCGTATTTAGAAATTACATTGGTCTAGGGATATGGCAAAAGTAGGTTTTTCTCTCGGATCTATGACCTCTCCAGCCATGTGTATTTGTACCATTTGTACCACACATATGTTCTCTGTCATTGAGCAAACCTTAATTCCAAACTTCTGCCTTCCAAGGCTCAGGGATCACTGCTGAAGTGGGGGTTGAAAGGCTGTAAGGGCCAGAGGTGGTGGATGACCACAAGGAAACAGTTTTCCAGAAGGCTGGTCGGTTACTCGCATGAACTCACAGCAATGGTGACACTATGCACAAGTCCTATGCAAGCTCAAACCAGACAAAATCCCAGCATAGACATGGGAAAGTGGGTAAGAAATTCTAACCCAACCTAAGGAACTTTTTGCAGCTGATGGCTGCTGGGAGGAGAGCCAGGGATGGGACTCTTGGTAGGCTAGTCAGGCTCTAGTGGATGAACCCACCCTGAAGGACATTTGGGGACACAAATCAGACTTTATAGGATGTATTATATATAATAGAGTACAGTAAAAGGGGGGGGGCAGGAATGGGACGTATGGATAGGGGATCTAAATATCATCAAATTATATTGTATGAAAAAAGCAAAAAAGTCAATAATTTTTTTTTAAGTTCAAATGTTGCCGAATCTTCTCTTTAAAAAAATTATACAAACAGAAAAACTAAAAGTCTAGATTGGAATATAAAATTTGATTGAGTGTTTGCATCAGTTTAAACACATAGTCATACAGATAGTCGACAAACATGTTTTGACATGTCTGTCCTAAAGGCTAGGGCTGTGCTTGGACAGTGCAGTTTGTTTCTTTAGGGCACAAAGTATGGGGTAAGTACCTGTTAGATCAAGCCACTCCTCTTGCTTCTGAGGTTTGCTTCTTGGTTGGTCATGATTTTTTTTTTCTGCAATTAGAGAGGCGGGGAGGGGGGTAGTCCAGAGATACCTGCTGTAATGTGAGAAGTTAGCTTCAGTTTCCTGAAAGGGATTTTGCTCCCATGGTCACCTATGTTACATGCCTAAAACAGTTAAGATTTCGCAGGTATGGATATAACACTTAAGACTCAATGTAACTCTAAGCCAAAGGCCAGAAGTAAGCAAAATAAATAGGACCTGATCATAATAATTATTTATTGAGTGCCAATTATGTGTGAGGCTCAGGCATCCAACTCAAACACTGGATTGTGTTAACTACTGTCGATGGGAACATATTGCGGACCCTTTCCTTAATTACTTACCCCCACTTGGGGGCATTTGTTTCTCCCAACTTGAGAAGCCAGTGCTGTTCATTCGATGTCATCTGGATGAAAGCTTTAGATCTGCTCCAGGCAACACCCCTTCTCCAGTGCCAGAGCATTCCCTGTGTTGTTACTGGTCCATTGCTACTGCAGGAGTGTCTTGGATTTCTGTAATCTTAGAGAGGCTGGCCCATGAGCTGGCATGATGCTTTCTGAACGATACAAGAGGGCTCCTGACTTGAAGAAAAGGGAAACTGAGACTTACTGAGCCACTCCCCTGACCCAAGTTCTTCAAGAAGGTAGATATACCTTTGGAATCTTTATCACAGCCTGGTGAGGAAGCACCTGTTTCACAGATGGAGGAACTGACACCCAGAAGAGGTCACATAGCTAGCAAGACAAATCTGGACACTGTTGGAAGCTGAGGGTGGGTAACTTCATATTTTTTCTCTTTAGCGTCTCTGGGCACAGTCCTAGGGGCAGCAAGTATATGAAAGGCAGCAAAAATAGAGGTCAGGGGACCAGGGTTAAGGATGGATGGAATGTCCTACAGGTGTTATTAGGTTATTAGATCCCTGAAACAGAAAATTCCATCCTCAGCCTTAAAAGGGTTATTTCATGCCTCTAAGGAAAAGGCAGTTATAGGGGAAGTACCTCATTGCTTGGACTCTACTCTGAGCACAAATTATGTAGTGCTTTGGGAAGCCTCCCCTGGCTCCCATATTTACACTAAGTTTACCAGCAGGATTTATGTGGGCAGCCTGCCTCCATGTCAACAAAAGGGTCACATTTAAATTGGGCGTGTGTGGTGGTACATGCCTTTAATCCCGGCATTCAAGAGGCAGAGGTAGGTGGATCTCTGTGAGTTCAAGGCCAGCCTGGTCTACAAAGTAAGTTCCAGGCCAGCTAGTGCTAAGGGAGACCCTGTTTCATAAAGCCCTCCCAAAAAAAGGTCACATTCTCACATTCACTCTCCAGTCTGGGCACAGGAAGGAAAGACTTCACTACTTTTTCTTCTACTGATAGGGGATACGGAAAAGAAAAAAGCAGCCAGGGGAACTTTCAAAGGAAGGGACTGAAGACAGGGATGGGGCAGATGACAAATCTTGGGCCTTTGCCTATGTCTAGAAATACCATAAAGCATCCCTGAAGTCAAGTCTGATACTTTGTTTTGGCTTCTGATCCCCCCATCCAGTTTTAACAGTCAAGATAGTTATTAAGCAGCAACAGGTCTTTCACTGGGACCATGTGCTCAGAGCTCATATAACAATCCCAAGTTCAAACTCTATGCCAGGGCATATCCTTCTTTATGATCCATACCCTCTGGTCCACCTCCAACCTCTTGACACTGAAGTCCTCACAGGGACTTGCCTGGTTTGTGGTCCTCTTCCTCTGGGAAGAGGTAGATGTTGCTTTTAACCCATCTGGAAGCAGCTGGGTGGGTCAGGGCTGCATGGACCTGGCCATCCAAAAAATGCTCCCCCTGGTTGACATTCTGTAGCCTCCCAGAGCAGGCCTAATTAAAAAAAAAAAAAAAATTGAAGGCTCTTTGAAGGCAGTAGCCACAGCTCTAGTGCTACGTTATTCCAGCCTGGTGTTCCTGTACCAACCCAGAAGGCCCACCTAAGTCCTATCATCAGTTCTGCACCCTAAACAGCGCAGAAAAGGTCTGCTTAGAAACCTTGGTCCCTTAGGACCCAAACCAGAAATGAACTTTGGACTAATATTGAAGCCAGGGATATTTGCAGAACCTTCCACCTTGGTACATCTGTTGGTTGGAGTTATGGGCAAAGGCCTTGCCACGCTGGAGGCAGATGGAGGTTTTCTTGCTACCGTGGGTCACCTGGAAGATGGGCAAGTGGGAGCTCTGGCTGAAGCTCTTTACAAGTCTAAGGTTGTTTTGGCTTGTGTGAATGTGTGGGTGCTGTCCACAAAACACTTGCTGCAATCAGGCCACTTCTAGGGCTTTACTCATATGTGAACATGGGAATTGTGGTGTAAGCTTTTGCCAGATTCTGGACAGGTGCCAGGCATTCATTCATTCAAGTGGCTGCACTGGTGTTCAGTGAACATGGTATGCTCACTAAAACCACGCCCACATTCAAGACACCTGAAGGGTGGCTCTCCGTTGTGGGTGCGCTGGTGCCTTAGGCAGTTTGAGCTGTTGGTGAAGTTCTTGCCACACTCACAGCAATTGTAGGGCTTCTCACCAGTGTGTGAACGCTGGTGTTCCAGCAGATAGGAGCTGCGCCCAAAGCTGTCCCCACACCAGGAACAGAAGTAGGGTTTCTCACCTGTGTGACAGCGCTGGTGCTGCAATAGGTTAGAGCTGAGGCTGAAACTCTTGCCACAGAGCCCACAGCGGTAGGGCTTCTCACCAGTGTGTGTGCGCTGGTGCTGGATCAAGTTGGAGCTAACCCTGAAAGTTTTACCGCACTCAGCACACGTGTAGGGCTTTTCCCCAGTGTGCACCCGCTGGTGTTTGGCTAGATCTGCACTGCGGCCAAAGGCCTCTCCGCACTCCAAGCACTTGTGAGGTCGGAGACCTGAGTGAGAGCGCCGGTGTTTGGTGAGGTTGGAGCTGAGGCTGAAGCAACGGCCACATTCTGGGCAGGGGTACGGTTTTTCACCAGTGTGTACCCTGTAGTGCTTAACCAGGTCTGAGCCACGTCGGAAGCTTTTGTCACACTCTGGACAATTGTAAGGCCTGTCACCCCCGTGGTTGCTCTGATGGTGAATGAGGTCAGAGAGGCTGGCTACAGTCAGTCCACAACTCCGGCACCTGAAGGCTTGGGGGGCTGCAGGATCACTGGTCTTGGTAAGGGCTTCTTCTCCCTCAGGGCCGGAGCCTGACCTATATAGGTACTGCAGGCCCAGAAAGTTTTCCCCAGCGGCTGGTTGCTCCCTCCACACCAGAAAGGGGCGCTCATGCAGCGCTGCCTCGCAGTTCAGGGGCGACCTGGGAGCTCCCGAAATTTTTGGTGTCCTCTTCCCCGGCAGCTTTGCGCTGTCGGGGTTCTCCCTAGGCACTGCTGGCGCCGCAGAGTCCATGGCAGAAGAGCTCTCCCTTTTCTAGGTTCACAAGAACAGCTGCAGCAAGAAGCAGTCGGGGGTCTAGGGTGTCACCACCGGAAACGGAAAGGTCCAAAAGCCCGCGTCGCTCTAGGAAGCGGCAGTGAACTTTTCGGTAGATTTAACTCTCTCATTCACCTGACCTAGCGAGAGCTGTGGACGAGAAACTTGACACTTTCCACCTGACTTGGGGTTCGGCCTTCAGGGCCCCAGTCCACAGCCTGGGAGTAGCCAAGCAAGTGGAAACGAGGAAGGGCAGTCGCTGACAAGGACATACCTGGAGCGGAGTGGCTAAGTACCTCGAGTAGCACAACACAGAACTAAGACTCCATAGAGGAACGTCTGGTGGAGGGAGGAACCAGCGCACTAGGCTCTGGGACGTTTCCCATCCACCGCCAACTGCCTTAAACTTGGCATCGACTACATATCCCAGCATGCACCGCACGCGCCTCTTAATTTCACACAACAATTAGATAAATACCATTCTCGCCAGGTCTTCTGCGGCTGTGCAAGTACCAGAGTCCAGAATCTAGAACTACAACTTCCGAGTCGCAAGATAACTGCGGCGGCGCTATTTGGAAGAGCAGCCTGGCTCCGCCTCTCCCTTTCAGTTCCGCTCTCTCCGATGTCCGGCAAGGCGCGGGGCGGAGTCTTAGGCCCGAGCCAAGATGGCGGCTGGGAGACCAGCCCTTACGGACTCGCTCTCGTTTTGCCTCGCGCAACTCACGGCGGCAGCCGGGGAGGGGCCAGGTCGGGGAAAGGACCCAGCTACCAACGAGACACCCCTGGGCCGCGCGCTCTTAGCGCTCCGCACGCGCCACATCAAGGCAGCAGAGGGAATTGAGCGCTTCCGGGCACGCGGCGGGCTCCGCCCCCTTCTTGCGCTGCTACGGCGAACAGCTGCTTCGGGTCCCGCCCCGTCCCAAGCAGGCCCTGGCTCCGCCCCCTCGGTGGTTGCGTCATCTGGTTCGTCCCCTGGCCCCGCCCCCGCTGCGGAATCGCCTTTGCCGCCTTCGTCGCCAATGCGCTTGCGCAAGACGCTGGACTTGGCGCTCAGCATTCTGGCCAACTGCTGTACAGAAGGGGCGTGCCGGGCTGAAGTGCGTAGACTTGGAGGCATTTTGTCTTTAGGTAAGTGCTCCGCCCCATTTCCTAGAAAGGTTCTACCCACAGCTCCCTCCGGTCTGGACCTGTGCAGTCTTTAGTTCTTTGTGTCATATCTTTGGGGTAACAGCTTTGTGATGTGCGCGCCCATCTCCCTCCGAGTCACTCTGTGTGACGTCACTGCTCTCTATAAATTACAGCGGAATCCTCCCAGACCAAGACTTAATATTGGCTTTTGCCCCAGGTTTGAGCGAGTGGAGGCCACTGGGTTATTTGGCAACTTTTAAAAATAATAGCTACCTCGAAAGACTTTAGTGGGGATAAAACGAAATCCAGATATAGAAAACCCAGACTCTAAGCATAGGCAGGGTACTTTAAAAAAAGTACACTGTGACAAATACCAGCAGAAGAGAAGCCTGTCTGTATACCAGCTGATTTTGCGCCTCTTAGTGGTAACGGTGTGAATAAAGTACACTTTGGGTCACTGCCTATCTGAAATTATGCCAGTTTTGACAAAATATTAAATTTAAAAAGTTTGATTTATTTTTATTTTATGTGTATGTGTGTATTGCCTGTATGTATGTAAGTGCACCTGTGTCTTGCAATGCCGGCAGAGGACAGAAGAGCATGTTGGATACGCTGGAACTGGAGTTACAGATGGTTTTTAGCTGCCATGCGGATGCTGGGATTCGAACCTGGGACTTCTGTAAGAACAGTCAGTGCTCTTAGCCACTGAACCATCTCTCCAGCTCCCATCATAATTTTTTAAGCGAAGCATTAATATATTTAAAACTTTCGTAGAACACATCTGTACAGTACTGTGTTTGACAAGAGGTCTGAAAAATAACTCCTCAATAAATACTAAGTTTTGGGGCTGGAGAGGTGGCTCAGTGGTTAAGAGCCCTGACTGCTCTTGCAGAGGACCCGGGTTCGATTCCCAGCATCCACATGGCAGCTATGAACCATCCTTAACTCCAGTTCCAGGGGAATCCAAAGCCCTCTTCTGACCTCCACGGCATTGCATGACACAGGCAATACACTCACGCATAAAATAAAAATAAAATTTTTTTTTTTTGTCTTTTTGATTCAGGGTCTCCCTGTAGCCCCAGCTGTCCTGGAACTCACTATGTAGACCAGGCTGGTCTTGAACTCACAGAGATCTGCCTGCCTCTGCCTCCCAAGTGCTGGGACTACAGGCGTGCGCCACCACGCCCAGCTTAATAAAATATTTAAAAAAATAATAAATACTAAGTTTTATTATTATCATTTAACTTTCATGGTTCAGTCCTACTCTGCATTTTTAAAAAGTATTTTATTTTATTTTTTTATATGTATGAGTGTTATGCCTGCATGTAGGTAAGTGCACCCGTGTCGTGCAATGCCCTCGGAAGACAGAAGAGGCTATCAGATCCCCTGGAACTGGAGTTACGAACAGTTGTTAGCTGCCATGTGGGTGCTGATTTGAACCCAGGTCTTCTGCAAGAACAGTGTTCTTAACCACTGAGCCATCTCTCCAGTCTCTGCATTTTAAGATTTATTTCATTTTATTTATGTGCATTTTATTTATGTGCAGCTCGGTGTGTGCAGGTGCCCGAGGAAGCCAGAGGGCATTAAATCCCTTTGAATTGGAGCTGCCACCCAATGTGAAAGTTAGGAAATGAACCTGAGTCTTCTGCAATAGTAGTAAGCGCTCTTAACCACTGAACCATCTCTCCAGGGCCCTATTTTGCACTGTAAATATTTCCTGAATCCATCAACTGCTCTCCTACCCAGTTCCACCATGTGCCCAGAGACTGCCTGTGCTGGGCAGTGCTGGAAGCTGATTTGGCTCAAGCCGTTGTCCTGTCTTACCCAGATTGCTGTGACAGCCTTGGCCATTCCTCCTGCCCTGTTCTTTTCTCTTGTAATACTTTTCCTTCCAAATTGCCAGATTATATCATGTCACTCCCCTTCTTAAAACTCAGCCAGGTGTGGTGGTACACACCTTTAATCCCAGCATTTAGGAGGCAGAGGCAGTAGACTCTGAGATTGAGGCCAGCCTGGTCTGCATAACAAGTTCTAGGTCAGCTGGGGTTACAGGGAGACCTCAAACACCCCCCTCCCAAAAAAAAACCCAAACAGACAAACTCAGAGCCTCCACTTATAAGTTCTAACCTTTGGACAGGCATTTGAGTGCCTCTGTGAAACCATGGCACAGACACCATTACCTTTGGGTGTTGGGATATCCTGTAGCCTCTCCATCTACTATCCTTTTGACAAATATCTGTTTAGCCCTCCAGCCCCTGCTCACATTTCAGCATCTTCCGAAGGTCTCTTCTGACCCCCTCAAACTATTACCCCCCCCCCCGACTTGTGCCTTTGGGAATTGATTCAGGGCTTTTTACAATTCAGGCAAGCACTCTACTACTGACTACATTCCCAGCCACATTCTTGAAGTGATTGATTTGAGACCCATAAGGGGTAGAACCCTCAAGAGACCTAACTGTCCTTGTAGTGACCATTCTTCAATGTGTGAAGACAGACAGCATCCAGAACCGAACAGCTCGTGCTCTGGGCAACTTGGCCATGGAACCTGAGAGCTGCAGGGACATCCACTCTGCTGGTGAGGAGGCTGTGAGGGTGGGAGTGGGAGAAGGGCTTAGGTATCCATTCTTGTTTACCCTGTATTTTCCTCTTCCTCTCCAGGTGCTGTTCCCTTGCTTGTTGAGAGTCTGACAGCCTGCCAGGACTCACAGTGCCTACAGAGTGTAGTGCGTGCCCTCCGCAACTTGGCAGATTCACCCCAGCACCGCCTAGCCCTGGCACAGCAGGGAGCAGTGCGTCCACTGGCAGAGCTCCTGGCTGCTGCCCCAGACCCTGCATTGACCTCTGCTCTAGTTCGTGCCCTCTTGGAACTCAGCCGAGGCTGTTCCCGGGCCTGTGCTGAGCAGCTAAGTCTGGGTGGGGGACTTGGCCCACTTGTCAGCCTGGCTTCTCACCCCAAACGGGCAATACGTGAGGCAGCCATCTTGATCCTTGCCAACCTCTGTGCTCAGGGCCTAGTGCGGCCTGCACTGGGCAATGCTGGTGGTGTTGAGGTGTTATTAGGTGAGCTTAGGCGGCGACGGGGTCCCAGTGGGAGCAGCCCAGCTTCCCAGCAACCCCTGGTTCGGGCTGTGTGCCTCCTGTGCCGAGAGGCCATCAATAGAGCCCGGCTGCGGGATGCTGGTGGTTTGGAATTGCTGATGGGTCTGTTGCGGGACCCTGGTGCCAGTGCCTGGCATCCGCGTGTTGTGGCTGCTCTTGTGGGCTTCCTTTATGATACTGGGGCCTTGGGCAGGCTACAGGCTCTGGGACTTGTACCTCTTCTGGCTGGGCAGCTATGTGGTGAAGCTGGCGAAGAAGAAGAAGAAGGAGTAGAGGCTGCTTCCTGGGACTTCCCTGAAGAACGAACCCCTGAGCAAGCAGAGGCAGGCAGCTTTCGAAGTCTTAGGTGAGCCCCTGTCAAGGCCTGGAAGGGTGGGTGTTACTCTGGGGAGGTGTTTTGTACTTGCTCTGGCCCTCTTTCTTCCTTCCACTTCTGTTCTGTCCTTAAGATTTTAATTTGGGCCTGGAGAGAGGGCTCAGCGATTAAGAGCACTGGCTGCTCTTGCAGAGGACCCGGATTTGAGTCCCAGCACCCACATGGTGGCTAACAACCTTCTGTAACTCCAGTTCCAGGGGATCTGATGCCCTCTTCTGACCTCCGCAGGCATTGCATGACACAGGTGCATTTATATACATGCAGGCAATACACTCATACATATAAGATAAAAATAATAAAATATTTTTTTAAAAACGAGATTTTAATTGACTCTAACTCCTGATTCCTTGTTCTTCCCTGACATGGCCACTTTCTGGTCCCATTTAAGTATATCATCTTTTCCTTGGACCTGCCTTTTGACCCTGCCCACCACCCAGAACTCTGGACCTTAGACAAGTTCACTAAGAGGTGGCATGTACCCTGGTTATAGTGATATGCTAATGGAGCCCAAGGATTTGTTGTTGTTTAGACAACAGTTCACTCTGAAGCCTAGGCTGCCTGTGTCTTATTCTGTAGCCCAGGCTGTCCTTGAGCCTGCAGCAATCCTCCTGCCTGTCTCCGCTTCTAGGTGTACTGTACCTGGCCCGGGTTCCGTCACTGAAACATTATGAGAAAGCTCATTGATGTTTTTGAGCCACTGATTTCTTGTGGCACAATGGGAAATAGGATACCCACAGCATTATTGCAAGGATTGAATGTACTTGTCCCCTAGTTAGCATAAAGCAATGGCCAGTAATGGTCGGGTTTCTTGTGAGCTCCACCTGCATCTCCAGGCTGCCTGATGGCATCTTCTCTAGTTTCTAAACATGATGATAAGGTACCATCTGAGAGCCTCTTTGGTTGCTGCTCTCTCTGCCTAGAGCAATCTTCCTCTAGCATGCCATTTCTCACCTATTTCAAGCCTTTGTTGGGGACTTAACCAAACTGTCTTATTTAAAATTTAGCTACTTCTGTGCCCTCAGTACCCTTTTTTTCTCCTCTCTGTTATCATTCCTTACCACTTAACTTTATGACGATACACCATCAGAGGTATTTGTTTCTTTTGTTTAATGTAAGTGGTCTCATTTTGTAGGTGAGGCTGGTCTTAAACCTGTGATCCTCCTGCTTTGGCCTCCTGAGTGCTGGATCACAGCTGTGAGCCACCATCCCTGGCTGTCCGAGGTAGTTTATGTTTTTGTGCTCTGCTTCTTTTCAGCAGAATATAAATTCCAGGAGTAACTTTGTTTGGTTTGTTGCTTTTCTCAGGCACCTAAAGCTGTGATTGGCACATGGTAAACATCAGTAATTGCTGGATTAGGTTTTGCCCTTCCTCAGCTCTGTGTCTTCACATCCACCCTTTACACATGTTCCTTTCACAGGACTGTTCCCTTCTCTTCTCTCCCTCTCCTTCCCATCTTTTCTTTCTTTTTCTTTTTGAGACAGGATCTCATCAGGCTGGCCTGGGATTTATGATCCATCCCAGACTTTCCTTGAATTTGTGATGCAGGACTATCTTTTTGACTCTGCTTCCTTGCCTTGATTCTGGGTCCAGTCTCTTTTTCTTCCTGTCCTCTGCAGGTTGTGGCTGATTTCTGAGGGCTATGCGGCAGGCCCTGGAGATGTCTCCCCTGATTGGTCTCCTGAGCACTGTCCACTGCCAGAGCCAGCTGAGCCTGTCAGTCCTACCTCTGGCCAGACCTCAATGCGGACACCCCGCACACTGCGAAAGCTGGGCCGCATCCCTGCTGCCACTGCTGAGGAGCCTTGGGGCCAAGAAGGGCCAGCGCTGTTGTTGTTGTCACGCTTCTCCCAGGCTCCAGACCCAAGTGGGGCTCTGGTGACTGGTCCAGCACTGTGTGGCTTGCTGGCCTATGTGACTGGTTCTCCAGGACCACCAAGTCCACGTGCACTACGCATCCTGGCCCGGCTCACCTGTAACCCTTCTTGCCTTGAGGCCTTTGTGCGAAGCTATGGTGCAGCGCTGCTGCGTGCCTGGTTGATACTTGGTGTCTCACCAGAGGACTGGCCTGTGCCACGTGCCCGGCCTGCATGCCGAAGCCAGCACCGGGAGCTGGGTATGTCTCCCCTGTCCCTGCCTTTATGAGAGGCCCATTTCCTCTGACACCTTCTGGGGTCCTAGAACTTCCATTTCCTTCTCACTTGCCCTCTCATTGTTCTCTCCAGCCCACGTTCAAGCCATCCAGCCCCCAGGTGCTGGGGGTTTGGGGAAAGTGGAGGCAGTGAATTTTCCTTTTGCTTCATAGCCCTGGCATACAGTGTTCTGTTCTATCCTCTATCCCCTTGGGGCACAGATAACATGGCACCAGGTTTAACTCCCAGCAACCTAAAAATCTGGCCTGACTGCATTCTTTACCCACTCTACTCTTGGTTCTACACTGTCCTATTTCTGCCCTGGGCATACTCACTGAAAACCAAGACCTCGAGGGCATGGTGGCACATGCCTTTAATCCCAGCACTTCCAGGAGGCAGAGGCAGGTGGATCCCTGTGAGATGGAGGCCAGCCTGGTCTACAGAGTGAGTTCTAGGTCAGCTAGGGCTACAGGGAGATCCTATCTCAATGCCTCCCCCCACAAAACAAACGAAAAACCAAACACAAAACCCCAGACCCAGATCCAGGTGATACCATGTCCTCTCAGGTTCAGCATCATTTTCATTCTAGGACCACCTGTCCTGTCTTCTGTGCCTGAGTATAGGCTGTTTAGTCTTTGAGGGCCCAGACCCACATCTGACCACTTCTCTGTTCTTCCCCTTGATTTTGGGCTCCTGGTACCTAACCCTATCCTTGACCGGCACTTACCCTGTTCCTCCATTGATTTCTTGCCCTGAGATTTTACTCTTCCTTTCAGGGACCCAGAGCCCTGTCTGGCCTGTCACACCCCAATCTTTGACACCAGCTCCCAGCCTGACCTGCTGTGCCCATCCCTGCAGGTGAGATGCTGCTGCAGAATCTGACTGTCCAAGCTGAATCGCCCTTTGGAGTAGGTGCCCTCACTCACCTGCTGCTCTCCGGGAGTCCTGAGGATCGTGTAGCCTGTGCACTGACCCTGCCCTTCATCTGCCGGTGAGAGGGTAGGGGCGTCTTGCAGGGTTGCAAACAACATTGTTAGTCCCCAGTCGTGCCGTTGTCCCTCTTCTGAAAGACCTTTTCCTCCCCGCAGGAAACCCACTCTGTGGCGCCGGCTACTTCTGGATCAGGGTGGCCTCCGTCTCCTCCTCACAGCACTATCTCGGCCAGCTCCACACCCACTCTTCCTTTTCTTTGCAGCAGATTCCCTTTCCTGCCTCCAGAGCCTGGTGTCTCCCACTGTGAGCCCAGCCTTTCCACTTGCCATACCCTTGGACCTAGACCCACCCTCCCCATGCCTTTATGAACCTCTCCTGGGCCCAGCCCCTGTCCCAGCTCCTGATCTGCACTTCCTTCTGGATTCAGGCCTACAGCTCCCTGCTCAGCGGGCTGCCTCAATTGCTGCTTCCTCTTTCTTCCGGGCCTTGCTATCTGGTAGCTTTGCTGAAGCCCAGATGGACTTAGTGCCACTGCGAGGCCTGTCCCCTAGTGCAGCCTGGCCTGTCCTACATCATCTGCATGGCTGCCGGGGCTGTGGGGCTGCTCTGGGGCCTATACCCCCTCCTGGTCAGCCCCTGCTGGGCTCTGAGGCTGAGGAGGCCCTGGAGGCTGCTGGCCGTTTCTTGCTGCCTGGACTGGAGGAGGAGCTGGAAGAGGCTGTTGGCCGCATCCACTTGGGTCCCCGGGGTGGCCCTGAATCAGTAGGTGAGGTATTCCGCCTGGGCCGGCCCCGGCTAGCTGTCCACTGCGCACGCTGGACACTGGGGCCAGGGCAGTGCCCTAGGAAGCGGGCCCTGGCCCTCATGGGGCTTGTGGAGGCTGCAGGTGAGGAAGCAGGGAAGCTTGTGGAGGCTTTGCTGGCTGTTGTGATGGGGACTGAGTCATAGCACAAGTGCCCTAGGCTGTACTGACTTGACATCCCTGGGAGAGGACCTAAGGTTGGCTGTAAAGGAAGCTTCCATGGGTGGCATGAGAGGAGGCTGTGGAGGAGTCTTTCTCAAGGACTGAAGAGAAAATGGAACGCCAGGATGAAGGTCTGAAGACCCATGACTGGAAAGCCAATTCCAGGCTCTGTGCATAGGGCCCAAGACGAGAACACGTAGGGTCCTATGAACCTGGCCCGATCCAGCCTTGTGGAGTTGAAATTAAAAACTTGGGACTTGGATCTTGCTGTTGTATGGTGTTTCTGTTTTCTTTGGGATTACCCCACCACTCACCTGCCAAGCAGGGTCCTACCAAGATCTCTGTGTCTTGATATATACCATCCTTGGATGTAAGAGTTCAATAATTGTCTAGTGCTTTCTAGAGTCCTGGAGCATGGTGGCTTTTCTCTGCTGTGTGATTTTTGGGCCCCAGGGCATACCTGCCTCCTGCTCACAGTTCATTTCTTAGACAGCCACCCACCTAGATACAGAACTGGCCAGGGCTGAGAGTGGGGCTGAGGGGTACCTGGTCTAGTGGTATGTTGTAACACTTCTGCCTTCTGACTGTCCTTTACCTGTCAGTCTCTGGGTCCATTCTGATCTCTTGAGCTAAGTTTGGTATATATATATATATATATATGTATATATATATATGTATATATATATAGTGGGCTGGAGAGATGATACAGTGGTGGTCTTCTTGCAGAAGACCCAGGTTCAATTCCTGGCACCCACATGGTGGCGGCTAACAACCATCTGTAACTCCAGTTCCAGGAGATCTGATGTCTTCTTCTGACTCCTTGGGCTTTGCACAGCATGAGTGTACTTACATACATGCAGGCAATACACTCATAAAAATAAAAATACATTTGTTTAATTATACTAATTTGTGTGTTGGGGGGGTGTCTGTGGAAGTCAGAGGACACTTGTGGGAGTCAGTTCTCTCCTCTGACCATGTGGCTCCCAGGGTTCGAACTTGGGTTGTCAGACTTGTCAGCAAGTGCCTTAAACTACTCAGCCATCTCATCAGTTCAAGCCAGGTTTCTTAGTCATCTGCCTAAGGGAGCTGTTCCTGGGGTCACCGGGGCTCTATTTTAGTCACATGCAAAGAAAGCCCCTGTGCTGGAATTCAGTTGAAGGATGGGGCTCTGTCACTGGGCTTCTAGATCCCTGACTTTTAGAAGATCTGTGGACTAGATCTGTCAGGGTCTGGGCCTCCCAGAAAGGGGAGTTAAGGTGGCTCTTGCTTTCCTCAGGGACAACCTTTGTGGGTGTCCAGATCTCTTTCAGGCTGTATATTAGAACTTCAGAGTGAGGTTTTAAAAATAACATGCCAAACAGGCATGGTGGCACACACCTTTAATTCCACCACTTGGGAGGCTGAGACAGGCATATCTGAGTTTGAGGCCAGCTTGGTCAATATAGTGAGGTCCAGGCTGGCAAAGGCTACATAGTGAGAGAAAAAAAGTTACTGATGCCTGGGGTCCTTTCTGAATTAGGCTGGTTCAAGGTTTTTAAAACTAAGCTTCCTAGGGTCTGACTTGCTCCTGGGTTGAGGCCCAATAGTTCGTTGCTCAAGTCTGTCCTTGCAGAATAGCTGCAAGACAGCTTTGTGTCCATGTCCATCTTCAATGTTATTTCCAACTAGATTTCTTAGGGGGTGAGTCCAGAAAAGGCTTCTTACTCTGTAGCTGGGGGTCTATGTGTGGCTTTCTTCTCTTTCATCAGTACCTTGGGAAAGGGTTATTTTGGAATATAGTCATCTCACTGTTAGGGTAACAGGCTGTCTGAGGTTTGGTGAGTGGGAGTTCACAGGGGACTTGGGTCTGGGTTTTGCTTTTACTAGTTCTTGTATATCTGTTTCCAGGTGGGTCTTGGAGGGAAGTTCCTACCTTAGAGTCTGTGGGTTGCCACCCTGTGTCTGTACTGTAGGAGAGAGTTCTTTGTATGTATGTCTCTTATCTCTAGTTGTCTGTCAGGGTCTCTGAACCTGGGGTCTCATAGAGCCTAAGAACATCACTCCTGTCCCTAATAAAATTCTGCAAGGTACAAGGAAGGCTCTTAGAATGCCCTGGGTGGGAGTGGGACTCTACCTAGGACTCAGGTGTTGGCTTCGGGGGGTGTTTGCTGGGTGCCCTCAATCTGCTTGTATGAGACTCCATAGTCAGGAGCCCTGGAAATTGGTCCACAAAAGCTACTTCTGCTGCCTGGGGCTCCCTGCTGCTGAGGGGAAGGCTGGGGTGTGGCCTCCAACGAGCAGCGTCGGAGCCAGCAGGCTGGGCTGGGTGGGCCCTGGTGCTGTCTTTCTTCAAGCCCCCACGCGGCCCCCCCCCCCAACTGTATCCCCGCGGGTCCCGGCTTCCATACATGGTCAAGGCTCTGCTTCCAACTCCCTGACGTCCCCCTTGTCCCCCGCCCCCACCGGACACGGCCCCCGCCCTGCTAGCCCCGTTCTGTCCGCCCGCGCACCGCCATGGAGGACCTTGGTGAGTAGGACGGGATCCCCGGGGCCCCTAGCCTCTCACTCCTGCGGCATCTGCCCTCTTCCTCGCTCTCGCACTCCCCACATTTCCCTATTGCAGTTTTCTAGCTCCTCTTTCTCCTCTGCCCCTGCTTCCTTCCCGAATCCACGTACCCCTTCCTGCCTCTCCCTTCCTGCTTTTTTTTTTTTTTTTTTTTTTTTGGCTGTAGCTCCTTCCCTTATTCCATGGCTCTCCTCCTTCAATCCCAGCTGGTGTGTCGGACAAGGCAGTGAAGCACCCAGGGGCGCCTGGATTCAGAGGCTCTGGGAAGGGAGGGGTTAAGGGAGCCTTGAATCTGGGGACTAGGAAAATAGATTGGAGAGGAGGGTGTGACAAGTTTGGAAGATGAAAAGGGCCAGCTGGCCAGCACCAGGGTTTCAAGAAAAGAAGAGTTAAGGGCTCCTGAGAATAGCAGAGGTCATGTCCTCAGGGCAAGAGAGAGAATAATAGGCAAGGAGTGCCAAGATGCCAGAGAGAGCGGAAACTGTCTACTCAGATGCTTAGAGAAGTGTAAAGGGATGACTGATAGGTTCAAAGCTCCTGGTCTAGGACCAGGGTAGTTAGGTTGGTTACAGGAAAAAGAAGGATCTAGGCATCTTGTCTTCCCTGTTTCCTGAGTCTGAGCTGGAAGGCTGTGCTTGCCAGGGGAGAAGTTCCAGCACCCCGAAGTAGAGGATGTGCCTCGGTGATGGTACTTGGCACTGGTACGTGGATAAGAAGCTAATCAGACAGCTGGTCCCTGCCAATGCCACTTACCCACAAGGAGCCCATAGGGTGGGATTTCAGCAGGGCTAAGAAGTGGCCAGGCTGGACAGGGCCTGTTTAGATATGGGGAAGAATTAATATGGCAGAGAGAGCATCTAGTCAGGAAGTTGGGTGCCAGGCATACAGCCAATTGAGCAGTTTGGAATAGATCCAAGTTTGGCTTCAGCAAGAGTCAGTTTTGACTACATTAGGAAAGATGGAGAGAGTAAAATGGTCAAGTGGCTGGGTTTGCACTTGATTCCCGAGATGTCAGTGGAGATGTCTGCTCCTAAATATCCCTTGCTACTGTTCTACTTCTCTGCCCTGGTCTGGCCCTATGTTTGTTTCTTGACCCTTAACACTGGCTTCTGCCCTTTTCAAATACTGCCTACCTGGAATCCTTTATCCTTTAACCTTTTAAGGCCCATCTCTGCCCTAACCTTGACCCTCAACCTCTCACCCCGAGGGCCTCTCCCTGCAGATGCCCTGCTCTCTGACCTGGAGACCACCACTTCACACATGTCACGGTCAGGGGCTCCAAAAGAGCGCCCCCCAGAGACACTCACACCTCCCCCACCCTATGGCCACCAGCCACAGGTGAGAAGAGATTATGGGACCTGGGGTAGCCACTAAGGCCACGGTTGGCTTGGGCTAGGGGAATCAGAGTGTGAGTGAGGCAAGGAACATGTCTGTACTTCCATACATATTTCTTCTTTTTGTAGTCAGGATCTGGAGAATCTCCAGGAGCCTCTGGGGACAAGGACCATCTATACAGGTGAGGGGGGCTGGGAATTGGGACATGGGGATGGGAATGGGGAAGCCAATATTGGTTCAGGTGAGGGGGCTTGGATTCCCTACCCTAAACCCAGGTTCCCATCTTGTTCCTCAGCACAGTATGCAAGCCCCGGTCCCCAAAGCCTGTGGCCTCTGTGGCCCCGCCATTCTCCTCTTCCAGTGGTGTCTTGGGCAATGGGCTCTGTGAGCTAGACCGTTTGCTTCAGGAACTTAATGCCACCCAATTCAACATTACAGGTACCAGGGTTACAGAGCCAGTCTTTGATGGGATGGGGCATGGCAAAGCAGGGCAGAGTCTAAGGGACTCAGACCTCTCAGGAGCAATTAAAAGGACATGAAGTCTTCAATGGGAGGGTGGGTTGATCATGGCCCCATGTCCAGTGTTCTTCTCTCATCTCTCCAGATGAAATAATGTCTCAGTTCCCATCCAGCAAGGTGACTGAAGGGGAACAGAAGGAGGAACAATCTGAAGATAAGAACAGACCCACCACGTGAGTTTGACGTAGTTGGCAGGGTTAGGAAAGAGGCAATAGGTCTTGGAGGTCTGAGTTTAGAGGGACTGTTCTGCTGAGAGGTTGAGATTATACAAACTCTGTTCTTCACAGTCCTTCCAGCCCATTTCCTGTCCTCTCAAAGCCTTCAGCCACCTCGGCCACTCTGGAGCTAGATAGACTGATGGCATCACTCTCTGACTTCCGTGTCCAGAACCATGTGAGCCAGGCAGGGTTTGGGCTGGTGTCATGTTGTGGCTCACGAAGAACCCAGTTCGGGTGCTTCAGCTCCACTGTCTTGCTGACTCAGCTTTCCTGTCCTCTTTACTGCAGCTTCCAGCCTCAGGGCCAGCCCAGCCACCAGTGGTGAGCTCCACCAGTGAAGGCTCCCCATCCCCACCAGGACCAGCTAGCAAGGGCAGCCTGGACACCATGCTGGGGCTGCTGCAATCTGACCTCAGCCGCCGTGGTGTTCCCACTCAGGCCAAGGGCCTTTGTGGCTCCTGCAGTAAACCTATTGCTGGTCAAGTAAGTGCAGCCCTGAGAGTGGATACCCACATATATATTATACAATATGTATCTTGATTGTATCCACCCCCCACCTCCTCCCAGGCCCTCCCCATCTTCCTGCCACTCTCATGTCCTCTTTCTCTCTCTCTCTCTCTCTTTCTTGTAGCCCCATCTGGCTTGGTACTTTTTATGTAGACCAGGCTGGCTTTTGAACATACAGAGATCTGCCTGCCTCTGCCTTCTGAGTGCTGGGATTAAAGGCGTGCACCACCACACCCGGCCCTCATATCGTCTTTCTTTAACCCACTGGGTCGTTAGTTCTTCCAGTGTGTGCATGAGTATAGGGACATCCACTGGAGTCTGAACACTACCAAGGGCCACACTCCCTTTCCCAGCAGCCAGCAACTGCCAATAGCTCATTTGCTAAGAGTGGTGCTTCATGAGCCCCTCCCCGATTCATGCTGAAATTTTGACTTGTTTGGGCTTATGCAAGCATCATCCACAGCTGCTGTGAATTCATAAGCACAACAGCCCCATCATGTCTGGAAAACATTGACTCACAGAAGTCCTTCCAACTTCTGGTTCTTACAGTCTTTCTGTCCCTTTTCCATGATGATTCCTGAGCCTTGGGGCAGAGAGGATGTGATATAGATATTCCATTTAGGACTGTGTGCTTCTGTGTACTTTTCCCTTTAATTAGTAACTGTGAAATGGAATTTTTATTTATTTATTTATTTATTTTTTTGTGGTGTTGAGGCCTGAACCCAAGTGCTTACACATGCAAATCCTTTGTCACTGAGGTAAAATCCCTAATTCTTGGATTTTTTTTTTTTTTTTTGAGACAATGTCTTCTGTATCTCAAGCTGGCCTCAAATTCACTATATAATTGAAGATGAACTCAAATTTCTGATGCTCCTGTTTCAACCTCCTGAGTACTGGGATTATAGCATGCCCCACCCCCCTTAGTTTTAATGTGATGCTTGAGGATCAAACCCAGGGCTTTGTGCATGCTAGACAAGCACTTTCCTACCTGAGATATATCCTTACCTCACCCTTGGAATTTCAAGACAAGCTGGCCTTGAACTTGTGATCTTGCTTCTATCTCCCAAGTTCGAGGATTTCCAGCATGTGCCACCATGCCCAGCTGAAGTGGACATTATTATTTATATTTTATGGAGGATTTTTTTGAGACAGTGTCTCACTGTGTAACCCTGGTTAGCCTGGAACCCACTATGCAGACCAGGCTGAACTTGACTCAGAGATCTGCCTGCCTGTGCTTCGTTGAGTGCTAGGATTAAAAGTGTGTGCCACCACAACTGGCATTTTTTTTTCAAATCACTTTATTTATTGAGTTATTGTCTCACTGTAGCCCAGGCTGGCCTTGAACTCATGGCAGTCTTCCTGCTGTCAGCCCCTGAGATTATAGATGTGAGCCACAGTACCCAGCTGTACTTCATGTGTTTTTTGTTTTTTTTTAAAGTTGTGTGTGCATTATGGATTGAACCCATGGCCTTTACAGATGCTAAACACACATCCTACCATTGAGCTAACCCTTATCCCACCATTTATATTTGGATGAGAAGACTGAGGTAGTCACAAGCAATAGGGAAAGAATTCCAGTCTGGTTACCATTTATGGTTCTACTGTTGCCAGACACTGTGCTCGTTCCTTTTCAAACCCCCTCTTTATTTAATCTTCACAAAAGGCCCATTGGCTCTGCCTAGCACCTCTCAAACATCCACAAAAACTGCCTCTTCCCTCTGAGTCAGTTCTGAAAACTCTTGGACTATGGCTTGAGCAGATGTGATAGGCAACAGCTGTAAGCTGACGCAAAGCATCTTGTTAGATTAAGTGCCTGACTCCCATACCAGAATTGCTAATCTCAGCAAAGAAGGGTGGTATGACTTTTGTGGGCTCTAGACATTTTTATCTTCATAGGTGTGGGGTCTCTCCCTTCCCCTGTGGGTCGTTGGCCACCAGTCCATGAGGACAAAGGGAGCAGAAGTGATGAACAGGGTCAGGACGGCCAGTGAGCACTGACAGAAGAAAGCCCTTCTGGGGAGGCAGGTTCGGTGATACAAACAGCTCCAGACTCAGTGAAACAGCTCCGGTTATTCAGTGGGGGTTAGGGAAAATATAGTGTGGAGGCAGTAGCCAATGCTTCAGCTGATAGGTGCTCATTGCATTATTTACATGTGGCAGTAGGCTCCTATCATCTGACTATTGGGCAATGCCTAATTATCATATAGAAAAAACCTGGGGGTAGTTTTTACTCCAGGTAACTATGCCAAAGGTCATGTTTTAAATGAGGCCAAGCATCTGACCGGCAGCACTTTCCAGGTAAGTCAGGCAGGAAGCCCCTGCTGGGAAAGGAGCCAACCTTAACAGCAGGGTTCCCCAACAATAGGTTCCTTCTATTAACAATTATGTCTGTATTGGCGTAAGGGCGAATATGTTACCTGCACTGTGTTGGTTGAGAGGACTGAGAGTCCAAGGCCAGCTTGAGCTACAGTTTGAAGCCAGCCTGGGCAACTTGGCAAGACTCTGTGTCTCAGAAAACAAAACCTTCCTCCAATTTTAAAAGTAATTATAAGCTTTTCATGAACCCCTAGAAGTAGTGTGGACCCTCCACACCTTGCCTCGTGGATGTCGACCTTGGAGGAAGGCTGGAATTTCTAACACAGGCTGCATCACCTTGAACGTTTGATTTTTCATCCCGATTTGTTAGGGTTAAGACTTGAAAAGTGCCATGTATATAAATCTTAGCCTCACTGGCACCAGGCAGATGGAGAACCACTCTGACAGAGAACTCTCTCTCAACTTGCAGGTGGTGACGGCTCTGGGCCAAGCCTGGCACCCTGAGCACTTCCTTTGCAGCGGTTGTTCCAGAACTCTGGGAGGCAGCAGTTTCTTTGAGAAGGATGGGACTCCCTTTTGTCCCGAGTGCTACTTTGAGCGCTTCTCCCCACGATGTGGCTTCTGCAACCAACCCATCCGGCATGTAAGTGTGGTCTCACGCAGGACAGGCCATATCCAGACCTGTTTCTCCAACCCACCTCCACGCCCACCCCACCCCAACCTCTTGGCAAAGTTCAAGCCTCCCGGACCTCTGTTCTCCCTCTTTAAACTCAAATTCTTTGTTAGATCTTCCTCCCATCAGACACATACTTCAGTCCGGTTCGTATTCCCCCATGTTCCAGGAGGGAGCTGGAGGGAAGGGCGGAAGGCCCCAGAGAATGTCCCCTTTCATTTTCTGCAGAAAATGGTTACCGCCTTGGGGACCCACTGGCACCCAGAACATTTCTGCTGCGTTAGCTGCGGAGAGCCCTTTGGAGATGAGGGTGAGAACTGACCCCAAAGCTCCAGGTCCACCGGGCCTAGCTTGCCCCTCCTACCTCTGGAGTTCGTTTCCTTCTGTTCCCTTCTGGCCCTTCCCTCTTCCTCAGTGGGTTCCCAACCTCTCTCCCCCTTTCCTTGTCCCTGACCTTATCCTTCTCACCCTATTCACACACACACTTGGCCCCCTGCTGCGCCACAGTCTTGGCTCTCGTCGCGCACCCGGTTTTTATCCGCCCACTCTCTTCTGCTCCCTAGGTTTCCACGAGCGCGAGGGCCGCCCATACTGCCGCCGGGACTTCCTGCAGCTGTTCGCTCCTCGCTGCCAGGGCTGCCAAGGGCCCATTTTGGATAACTACATCTCGGCACTCAGCGCGCTCTGGCACCCTGACTGCTTCGTCTGCAGGGTGCGTTGAGTGCGGGGTGGGGCTGGAGGGAAGCCTGGGGGCAGGGCTACGAGTCGGGGTGGAACCTTTAGTCGGGTCTGTTCCTCCTGAAGGTGCGGTGGGTTATTTAGTCGGGGTTTGGGCTCAGTGTTTCGTATCCTCCTTCCTCCAGGAATGCCTCGCGCCCTTCTCGGGAGGCAGCTTTTTTGAGCACGAGGGTCGCCCTCTGTGCGAAAACCATTTCCACGCCCAGCGTGGTTCTCTGTGCGCCACGTGTGGGCTCCCAGTGACAGGCCGCTGCGTGTCAGCCCTGGGCCGCCGCTTCCACCCAGATCACTTCACTTGCACCTTCTGCCTGCGCCCACTCACCAAAGGCTCTTTCCAGGAGCGTGCCAGCAAGCCTTACTGCCAGCCTTGCTTCCTGAAGCTTTTCGGCTGACCTCCTGTTGGGTGCATGGACCCGGAAAGCCATGTCTCCAAAGACCCCTCTTGCTGAAAAAGGACCTCCAGATCCCTAGGTCTTGCTCTTTGAGCTAGGGCTGCCTGAAACACCGGAACACGCCCCCGCCCCCTTGGCCTCTGCTGCCCTTCATCGCCCTGGGCCATTGTGATCCCACCCATTGGAGAGACCTGACCCCCCCTCCCCCAGGGTACTCTTTTGCTCTGGTTTGTCAAGCTCAGAAAAGGGCTAACAAGACCTAAAAAACCACAAGTAGAAAGTATCTTTCACTGTGACCAAGGCAGGCCTTTGCTATAGTCACAGCCTTCAAGGAGCCTCCTAAATAGAAGAGGGTCCTTGTAATTCAAACCAGTCAGGCCAGGGTCTCCCTGTTCCCTCACTGTTCTGTACACTTTCTTCTACAAACATAAAAACACATTCCACATCTCAGGGTGCTGTGTCTCTGTGCCAGAGAACCTTGCTTTCTACCATCTTGCCTCTGGCCTGTGACCATTTCTGCATTTCAGATATCAGCTGAAGCCAGGTGTGGTGATGACTGCCTGTAATCCCAACACGAGAGTCTGAGACAGGCTAAACAGCAAATGCAAGGCCAGCCTGGTTGTATGAGACCCTGTCCCAAAAACAAAACAAAACAACCCCCCCCAAAAAAAACAAAAACCAACCAACCAAAAGCAAAACCAAGCAACACCCCTGTCCCCAACAACAACAAACCTAAAATGCAAAGCAATGGCAACAACAGAGCAAAAAATATAGGCCCTGTCTGAAGTTCATGCCTATAATCCTAGCACTAGAAAGGGGAGTTCAACGTCAGCCTAGTGTATATAGTGAGTTCCAGGCCAGCCTGGCCTACTGGGCTACGGTATAAGACCCTGTATTAAAGGAAAAAAAAAAAAAGCTGAGCCCCAGCCAAAAAAGTGCTAGAATCAGGACAAGAACGGAATTTGGGACTTCGCCAGACCTTCCTGCCTCCGCTCCTCTTCCAGCTCCCCGTATAATTGAAACGTGCTTAATTTGCTCTCTCTTGTCCTACTTTGTTTTGGTTCCCTGATTTTATGTGCCCGCTTTAAAGGACTCTCAGAAGTTATGTCAGCAGCAAGGAGTTCCTTTTATCTTTTAGGGGTCACAACACCGGTAAAACAGGCCTTGGTTTCACCACAGAAAAGAATTTCAGGACAAACGAGTATGAAGCAGAATTAGCATTATTAAAAGCTATTTTTAACATAGATCTTAACTGCAAAAGTCAAGAGAAAGGTGCTGGGGAAGGAAATAAGACGCTCCAAAGCATAGGTGTAGGCTTCTCAGAGGCCTGCCAAGCCTGTGTCCTGGTGGTGATTATGTATAGGATTTGGAAGTATTTTGAAATTTATTGCTTAACGAGTTTCTAAGGAATCCTCCACCTCTCTGTATTTCTATTTCCTCTTTTGATAATTGAGATGATTGGGTGACTCTGGAGGTGCCTTGGATGGGCTCACAATTGGATAAGGTAAAATGAGAACCACTAAGGTTGCATAAGGGGTTTCTGATGAGAGTCCTAGAAAATTAATTGTAGGTTGACAGTTGGGAAAAAAGAAAGGCTCCAAGCAAGAGTTAATTGTGTTAGAATTCTTGATCCTTAGTTGGCAAGAGGCATCAACCAGGCTCCTAAGTGAAGCCTCCTTTCTCTTACCACATTTCCCAAATTTCCCTTGTCTTTCTAGCCTGCTTCAGTGGGGCTCCATGTAGAAGTGGGAATTTACGCCCATCCTTTGAGGTTGGCCATTAAAACACGGCTTCCCTCTTACTGGTATTGGCTCACATGCTTGGAAGTTTCATGTAGGCATGGCCCAAGCCTGCCACTTTCTCTCTCCCCCAAACCCAGCCACCTCAAAGGAGGCGAGCTGAGATATTATTCAGTCATTATTTACTTTTCTCTACTGGTTCATCAGTAATTCCCTAAGGCTTTTCCTGACACATTCCTGTGCTGGAAGGTGCTGGGTCCACAAAGATAAGTCACAGCAAGACAGTCACTGCCCCGGGAAACTCCAGAGTGGTGAAGGAGATGGATACTGAGGCAGAGGATGACATTTGGTGTGGCCAGGGCAGTGTCTATGGGAAGCTTCAGAAGATGTTGGAGCTGGAAGATGTGTAGCCCAGACTGGAAGTCAAGAAAGGCTTCCTGGAAGCAGTGACACCTGAGCTAAGTCAGAGCAGAGCATTGTGGGGCCAGGAGCTTTCAAGTTTGGAGAAGTTCAGGCTCCATCTGTGGTCCCAAGTCTCAGGTGTTTTTATGGGCTCCAGAACCTGCATGTTGTAGCCTGAGGTTCCCTAGGAAAGGTCTCTAGGAAATGGCTCCACAGAGGCTCTTTCAGCTCACTAAAGGAGCCAGCGGCTAAGTATAGTGTATGGGCAAGAGAGGAGAGCAGGGCGTCCTCTGCCCTTTTTCCTGCAGACCCGCATATTTTCCCCCCTCGGCTCCCCTCTGGTGTGCCCCAGTTCTGCTATTTCTCTTCCACATATCCTTTCTGGGGAATGCTGTCTACCTCCTGGTGTGCGACTATCTGCCTGTCTTGAGGACGCCCAAGTTGGCTAGCTCCAGTCTTGATTCATTCATTAATTTACCAAATGCTAGTTGAGCACTAACTAGCTGGTCTCTAGGTGAGACACAGTAGGAGAACTAAGCAGCGAAGCTTGATCTCAGAAAAAAGTCCAATGGGGATCCAGATAACAAAAGTAGACAAGTGTAGTAGGTTCTTTTCTGTGGCCGTGATAAAGACACTGAACAAAGCAACTTAGAAGAGTTTATTTTGCTTGTGATTCCAGAGAAGTAAGAGTTCATCATGGCTGGGAGGCATGGTGGCAGGAGATGGTTGCAGCAGAGAGCTGCAGGAGGCTCACAGCAGGCTCCAAGCATAGGAAGCAGAGCATGACTGGAAATCTGGCAAGGTTTAAGAACTCTCCAAGCCCAGCCCAGTGACACACTTCCTCCAGAAAGGCTACACTTTCTAAAACCTCCCCAAACAGCGCCAACAACTGGAGAAAAACGTCCAAATACTTGGAGCCTATGGGGTGCATTCTCATTCCAACCACCCCCACAAGTGACTAGGGTGATGAAGGAACAGAGCCTTCCTCTAGCTGCTACTCCAGGGCATCTCAGTAGGTCCTTCATAACATATATCAATCATTATTGTGATTTGGGGTGCTGGGGACTGAACCCAGGACTTTATGCATTACTATTGAGAATAGGTGTTTGTTTGGTGCTTGTTTATATCTGTTTATAAAGTTGGAATGAAAATGTTTGGAAGCAGGCAACATGCTTGCTTTATGTTCTCTTGAGAGTCTAGAAGTATGTGGCAGGTGCTCAATGAATGTTTGTGAATGAAGTAAGGAGCAAGAAAGGACAGGAGGAAGAGTTAGTGAGTTAGTGACTAAGTTAGTAAGGTGAGAAAGTGACCAGGTAGTCAGAGAACGTTTCTAAGTGGAGACTTGAAAGCTGAAAGAGCCAGCCAGGCAAAGAGCTTGAGAGAAGCATTCAGGTGGAGAAAGCCGCAGGTGCAAAGGTGAGGATAGCTCCTACTGCTCTTGCCAAGAACCTGAGTTTGGTTCCCAGCACCCATGGTGGGTGGCTTAGAACTGCCTGTATCTACAGCTCCAGGGGATCTGATGCCTCTTGCCCCTGAGGGCACCAGCACACATATGCACACATCTGTACCAAGAGACACAAAGACACACACACACCCACACACACACACACACACACACACACACGAGAGAGAGAGAGAGAGAGAGAGAGAGAGAGAGAGAGAGAGAGAGAAGAGAGGAGAGAGGAGAGAGAGAGATAGGAGAGGAGAGAGAGAATTAAAAATAAATCTAAAAAAAAGTCTAGGAAGTGGGCTGGAGAGATAGCTTAGTGGTTAAGAGCACTGGCTGCCCTGGCAGAGGAACAGGGTTCTGTTCCCAACACCCAGATGGTAACTCCAGTTCTAAGGAACCACACACCATCTTCTGGCCTCTATAGGTATTGCATGCAAGGGTGCCCTTAAATACATGTAGGCAAAATACCCCAAAACATTAAAAAAAAAAATGTAGCCAGGCATGGTGGCATAGCTGTTAATCTCAGCACTCAGAAGGCAGAGGCAGGAGATCAAGGCCAGCCTGGTCTACATAGTTCCAGGACAGCTGGGGCTATGGGGAGACCCTATCTCAAAAAAAAAAAAAAAAAAAAAAAAAAAAAAAAAAAAGGCTAGGAAGTAGGAAAGAGCTTGTTATACTGAAAAGCTAGTGTGACTGGAGTAGAGGGAGAGAGAGTTGTGAGAGATCATGTTAAGTTAAACCCGGATGCCACATCATGAAAGGCTCTGTAGGCAACAGTGAGGGCATACATGGTTTAAGTGCCTGTAGCACCACGTATCCTCTGGCACTTGCCCATGGATTTCTCTCAGGCACTTTAACTCATCAGCCTCTGAAGCAGACATGGTGGGTGCCCTGTGTATACTTGGCCCATCTTCAGGGTCACATGCAGTTTCTAGACTCTTTACTGCTTCCTGAGTTTCTTGTCTGAGAATAATTCTTAGGAGGGCCTGTGATCCGTGTATTCAGCAGGCCTGAGGGGTGTATTTGTGTGTGTGTGTGTGTGTGTACACTTCCACCCACTGAGAGACAGGATTGGTGAATCAGTCCTGGCTCATTTATGGTCCGTTTTGAGGCATCCTCTCCATTGTCTCTCAGGTAGTCCTCCTGGGGGCAGGATCCAGTTGCTTGTGGGTGCTATGTCTTAACAGACCCTTTGCTGGCCTTCTCCTCTCATTGCCTTACTTCTCCCTACTTGTTCACAGTCCTTACTGGAATCACCTGTCCAACAAAGTAAGGCTGACCATTCATACCTGTGGGTGGTACATCTGTGGGTTCAACTAGCCTTTGATCACCACATTTGAGGAAAGAAAATTATTTCTCTACTGAACATATTAAAACTTTTTCTGGGGGCTGGAGAGATGGCTCAGCAGTTAAGAACACTGATTGTTCTTGCAGAAGACCTGGGTTCGAATCCCAGCACCCACATGGCAGCTAACGACTGTCCGTAACTCCAGTTTCAGAGGGTCTGACAGCCTCTTCTGTTTTCTGTGCATGACATGGGTGTGCTTACCTACTCGCAGGCAATACATGCATACACATAAAATAAAAATAATAAAGGCCGGGCGTGGTGGCACACGCCTTTAATCTCAGCACTCAGGAGGCAGAGGCAGGTGGATCTCTGTGAGTTCAAGGCCAGCCTGGTCTACACAGTGAGTTCCAGGACAGCTGGGGCTACAGGGAGATCCTGTCTCAAAAAGACCAAAAAAAAAAAAAAAAAAAATTAAAAAACTTTCTGGGGTTATTCCTTAAATAATATGGTATAATGACTCTTTACCTTACATTTACTTTACATCATTTTAAGTATCATAAGTAGTCTTGAGATAAAATATATGGAGGGATGTGTGTGGGACTTGAGCATCCTTTGATTTTCACATCTGCGGGAGGTCCTAGAACCAATACCTTACAGGTCCTAGGGGATGAGTATACCTCAAATAGCAGATGAGTTTCAAGCTTCAGATTGTGGTGCAAGACTGTACAGATAGTGGTGGGGCCAAGACAGAAACTCAAGCTGGATCCTCCCCATCCACCTTTCCTGCATTCTTCAGATCCCTGAAAGAAATGTTTATTTTGGGGCTGAAGAGATGGCTCAGTGGTTAAGAGTACTGGCTGCTCTTCCAGAGGACCTGGGTTTGATACCAGCACCCACAGGGGCTAACAACCATCTGTAACTCCAGTTTCAGGGGATCTGATGCCCTCTTCTGGCTTCCATGGGCACTGCATGACACAGATGCACTTATACAAACATGCAGGCAATACACTCATGCACATAAAATAAAAATAATAAAATATTTTTTCAGAAGACGTGCTGATTTTGCTCCATCTTTTCTCCGTCTTTGTTTGGCTCTTGGATTCTTTTGCATCTTTAGGTCTGCTTTTGAAGCACTAAGGCACTCCTAAGTGCCTTAGGTGTGGTATGGTGACACATGCCTTAATCCCAGCACTTGGGAAGCAGAGGCTACAGGGAGACCCTGTCTCAATAAGACCCCCCCCAAAAAAAGAGAAAAGAAAAGTAAAAGCACCCCCATTCCAAATCTCTCTCCATGGATCAGGATTGCTCAGCAAGTGCTCTTCCAATGTGTTATTTACTATTGTATCACAGATACCATATAACAACTTAGAAAGTTTATTTTGGTTCACAGTTTCAGAGGGTTTATCCACCATGATTGGGAAGGCATGGGAGAGCAGCTTAGTTCATGGTGGTGAACTCTTCACATTGTGGACCAGGAAGCAGAGTGAAGCAGGGATTAGGGGCTGAGCATCACCTTCAAAGGCTCTTAGTAATCTATGTCTACCAGATTGGTCCTACCTCCAGAAGGTTCTACAGCCTTCCAAAACAGTGTTACTAGCTGGGTATCAGATATTCAAAACATGACACTGTGAGAGACAGTTCAGATTTACACCATAGCACCCTCATGGGGAGCTATTCTGAAAGACTTCTGAGCAAGGGACTGACACTGTCAGAGTTGGATTTGAGGATGATCATTCTGCATTAGCAGCCTGGGGGCTGGCTAAGTCAGGCATGCTAAGTTGAAGCTAGAGGGTATGTATTTTCAGGAGGTGCGTGAGGTGACTTTGAGTCTGGAACACTGGGAAGGGAATGGAGGATAAGCCTTGGAAGGAATGCTTCTAAACTTGAAAGGGCTCAGCACCCCCAGGACCAGCCTTCGGCCTTGATAAAACCTGATTCAGCTAAATAAAGCCAGAGAGGGGGGACAAGACCTGGGGGACTTGTCGGCTCACTGCCTCTGAGGTAACCATTAATCTTTCCCCTAGGGGGAATCCAGGGACTGGCCCCTTGATGGTCAGATCCTGGACAGAATGGAGGCACACACAGAGACAGGCTCTGAATTGGAGCTTGGGGACCAGAGGGTCCTAATCGACAATCCTGCTGACATCTTGGTTATTGCCGCTTATTTCCTGCTGGTCATCGGTGTTGGCTTGTGGGTGAGAAGCTGAGGGGGTTTCATAGGGACTTGTTCTGGAGCTTGGGGATACCCAAGTTTTAGGGATACCCAGAGTGGGGTGGGAGGATGCTTGGATCTTTTTGAGGGAGAAGCGTAGTGCTGGCAGGCAAGCAAGTCTAATTCCTTGTCTTCCTACTTTCTGGATTGTGCTAGCTGAGGTGGGGAGGGTGGGGGTCGGTTGATTTTCATCAAGTCAAGCATTCTAAATAAGGTCTTTGTTCCCCTGCCTACTTTATATCTACCTGAGCAGCAGCCCATATTGAAAGTCCCCAGGAAAGTCAGGCTGAATCTAGACTACTCAGACTTGAGTAGTTGCACCTAGGGTTGGGGTCTGGATTGCTCCAAATGTCTGGGAGGAGGTTGGGGGTGGGGGTACAGACAATCTGGGGAGTCTAGTGCTAGTTAATCTTCAGCCTGAAACAAGGCTGAGGAATGTGTTGAAGAGGCCAATGAAGTTCAAAGATGTGCCCCTATCCTGGAAGTCAACCTCCCACTTCTGTTTCTCAGTCTATGTGCAGAACCAACAGAGGTACAGTTGGTGGCTACTTCCTGGCAGGGCGAAGCATGGTGTGGTGGCCGGTGAGAGGGGCTGGGACATGGGATGGGAGGGGTCCTAGAAGGGCAGCCTTGCTCACCTGCATTTCTGACCATCCAGGTTGGAGCGTCTCTCTTTGCTAGCAACATTGGCAGTGGCCATTTTGTGGGCCTGGCAGGGACTGGTGCTGCAAGTGGCTTGGCGGTGGCTGGATTTGAGTGGAACGTAAGGCCTTTTTCTGAAACTCACCCATTGGGAACTCTTTGGAAAGAGTCCCTCTTGGGGAAACACTAGGCATGGGAATATGAACAACTGTAGTTGTGGGGTGGGGGGTGGGGCGCAAGGGTCACATGCCTAGCTTAGAGGCAGTAGGATAGTCACTCTCAGGGTAGAGGTAGGTCTTTCTTTATAAACTGGCATCAGCCACTGTCCTCAGTGGGCCTTGATCTATATATTCTCTCTGAAGAGGGGCAAGCAGTTCAAAGATGAAGCTCTGCTGCTCTCTGAAGCTGTGGTCTGTGAGCATTTCTTGGCTGAATTGAAGTCCTTTGCAGAAATGAGGAGACCTTTAAAGTTCTGAGACTGGGGCTCACCTGGAGGGTTTGGGAGATTAGGGATTGAGTTTAGGGCTTCTTGGAGGAGCCTCTGAACTGAGCATTTATGGATAAAAGTTTTAGGTGAGCAGCCCTGCCTGGCAAACGCTGGGGTCAATCTGAAGGGTCTGTTCACATGCTAGAGAGGGAGGAGACACCGGATTCTCTTGGGCGAGACTGACCAGGCTGATGGCTTGAAAATGCATAAACAGATCTAGTTAAGGTCTCAGGAAGATGGCAAAATTCTGTTCCTTAATGCCAGGGCCCAGGCTCATCGTTTGCTGTTGTTTTCTGGGTCTCAAGTGTGAACCTTCCCGTGACCACTTTTTTAAGAGTAGCTCATTCGCCAAGAGGACTCTCAGATCCTTTAGGGACTAGGATATGTCTGTGACAGGATGGCACACACAGTCACCCTTGACTGTCACATTGTTCCCACAGGCACTGTTTGTGGTGCTGCTACTTGGCTGGCTCTTTGCGCCTGTGTATCTGACCGCCGGTGTCATTACAATGCCACAGTACCTACGCAAGCGCTTTGGTGGGCACCGAATTCGTCTCTACTTGTCCGTGCTCTCACTTTTTCTGTACATCTTCACCAAGATCTCGGTGCGCATGTGCGGTGGGCAGTACAGGCTCCTAGAAAGGCAGGGCCACTTACCAAGGTCTTTAGAGAGCTCTGGAGGGAGTTGGGGACCAGATAAATGCACAAATCTCTATAGAGGCAGGGTCATGGGCACAGGGACCTGGGAGGATCTAGGCCATTGAAAAATGAGTGAATCTTTGCGGTATGGCTACACAGGATGGTTGCATAGGCAGGAGGTGAACCTGGATTGATGTCCTTGCCCCTGACCTATTTGCTCTTTCTACTGAAAGGTGGACATGTTCTCCGGGGCGGTATTCATTCAGCAGGCTCTGGGCTGGAACATTTATGCTTCTGTCATTGCACTCCTGGGCATCACCATGATTTATACTGTGACAGGTGACTGCACAGAGGGTGGAGGTGGGGGGGTGGTAGAGGTAGGGAGCTGGCCTGGAACATCAGCTGGGGGTTGTGGTTATGTTGGGGAGTAAGAATGTGGGATGGAGCAATTTGGAAGTGTGGTGTGGTCCAGGCAGAAGGAATTAAATCTTTGGAAATCAAATCCACTTTCTTCCCCAACGTCCCTTTGTTTTTGGATTGGAAGTTCAGATACCCAGCAATGTTGGTGGGCCTCAGAGTGAGGATTGGGGAAAAACGATTTAGCAGCTCTTGCCCTTATATGCTTGGAGAGTGGACTTGGTCAGTTTCCCAAGATCTCTGGCTACACCCAGTGCATTTCTAAGGCCCCCAAGTCATATGTAGAGTGGGTAGGGTCTTGAAGATGCAGGATGGGTTGCAACCAAGAACTGGACCTTAGAGAATCACACCCTCCTACTACTTAGATGAGAAAACAGGACGAGGAGGGGTCTATGGTGGGGATCTTGCATCACATGGATGCCTAGCCAAGAAGGCACCAGTGGAGTCTAAAACTCAGCTCTCCTTCCTGGTGTTCCAGGGCCCATCATCATTTTAATAAAATTTGTCCTCTAGAATGAGTATTTTATCAGATTCTCAAAAGGCAGCACAGGCTGGGGGTCAGGAGCTGTGCTTGACCCTACTGATTCAGATCTGTTGCAGGAGGGCTGGCAGCACTGATGTACACAGACACTGTGCAGACCTTCGTCATTCTTGCTGGGGCCTTTGTCCTCACTGGTTACGGTATGGGGCTTACCCAATGGGGACAGGCCATGGAACTCTGATGTCACAGAGCCTTTAACCTGGGAGCTAGAACCTTGCCTGTCTCTGCTATGTGGGTCCTGAGGAGGGCCTGAGTGCAGAGCCAGATCCTGACACCTTTGCTTGTACAGCTTTCCATGAGGTGGGCGGGTATTCGGGTCTCTTCGACAAATACCTGGGCGCAATGACTTCACTGACCGTGTCCGAGGATCCAGCTGTTGGCAATATCTCCAGTTCCTGCTATCAACCGAGGCCAGACTCCTATCACCTACTCCGGGACCCTGTGACAGGAGACCTGCCATGGCCTGCACTACTCCTAGGGCTCACCATTGTCTCGGGCTGGTATTGGTGTAGCGACCAGGTAAGGTTAAGGCTTGGCTTGGTGTGTGTGTTTAGAGCAGAGCCCTAAATGCCCTGTGTCAGCTGATAGGGGTGCCTGACAGCACCCTTTGGTGCTAGGTTGAAGGCAGGGCCAGGGTGGACCTGAGTCAGAACCCAGTGGTAGGATCTGAGAAATGAAGTGTACTGGTGGCTCTACAGAGCTAGAGGATGGGTACGGGGGGGGGGGGTAGGGGGTGAAGGCTGGTGTTAAGGAGCTTGGAGGGGGTTGCTGAGGACAAGGCCTGTGGGGGCAGGGTACAGTGATGACCCGCCCTATTTGAATGTTCCTTATCATAGGTCATAGTGCAGCGTTGCCTGGCTGGAAAGAACCTGACACACATCAAAGCTGGCTGCATCTTGTGTGGCTACCTGAAGCTGATGCCCATGTTCCTCATGGTCATGCCAGGCATGATCAGTCGCATTCTTTACCCAGGTAATGTCTGCATTCCCACTGGCCCCATCCAGCACATTTTTGTGCAAGGATCCAAGTGTCTTGTCTTTTCTATCTGCTACCTTTCCAAGATTGGAAATCGGGTCTCCCTGCCCTGCTTCCCACCAGGAGTCCCATCTCAACCTCTTGCTAGGATTCCCAGTTGCCACTAGGCTTTGGTGACCCCACTTCCCAGGTCACGCTCTTTCCTAGCCACCCTATGGCTTCTCTTTCAGATGAAGTGGCGTGTGTGGTGCCTGAAGTGTGTAAACGTGTATGTGGCACCGAAGTGGGCTGCTCCAACATCGCCTACCCTCGGCTCGTTGTGAAGCTCCTGCCCAATGGTGAGGGTTGGAACTTGGGTTGCTTGGGCCAAGCCTGCAGGGCCTGCCTATGGGAAGGTAACCAAGCCCTCATCACCTCAAACACTGTACTGGACCCAGCTTGACAGCTCCTGTTGGCCACAGGTCTGCGTGGACTCATGCTGGCAGTCATGCTGGCTGCCCTCATGTCCTCACTAGCATCAATCTTTAACAGCAGCAGCACACTTTTCACCATGGATATCTACACACGCCTGCGGCCTCGTGCAGGTGATGGGGAACTGCTGCTGGTTGGAAGGTGTGTCCTAGGTGCCAAACCCTGCTCTGCAAATGAACCTGGGGTGTGGGTATGGAAAATCAGCAGGGTACTATGGAAACTGGGTCCTAGGTAAAATCTGATGCTCTTCAACTGCAGGCTTTGGGTGGTATTCATTGTGGCAGTGTCAGTGGCCTGGCTCCCAGTAGTGCAGGCAGCACAGGGTGGGCAGCTCTTCGATTACATTCAGTCTGTCTCCAGCTACTTGGCACCGCCAGTGTCTGCAATCTTTGTGCTTGCACTCTTTGTGCCCCGTGTTAATGAGAAGGTAAGAAAATGTGCTTGTGAGCTCTGGGTGGGGCTTGGGCATCTTGAGGAGGCTAATGCTGTTTCCTCTGCAGGGTGCCTTCTGGGGACTGATTGGGGGCCTACTGATGGGCTTAGCACGTCTCATCCCCGAGTTCTCCTTTGGCTCGGGCAGCTGCGTGCGGCCCTCAGCATGCCCAGCGCTCTTCTGCCGGGTCCATTACCTCTATTTTGCCATTGTGCTCTTTGTCTGCTCTGGCCTCCTCACACTTGTAGTCTCCCTGTGCACCGCACCCATCCCACGGAAGCACGTAAGTGTTGGCCTCTGGGTGGGGGGCCTGGGAGAACATGGACTGTATAGCCAGAAGCCATTCCCACCCTTCAGCCAGTCTGCTTCAAGGAATGCCTGCCCATGGAGGAAGAGCCGGACTTCCACACTGAGTGTTGGTGGGAGAAGGCTGGGTGTACAATCTGAAGTTGTATTTGCAGAGCAAGCACATTTATTTAAAATTGTTTTGAAGCAGTTTGTGGGGAGGAGCGATGAAACTCCCAACACAGAATGCCTAGCAATGAGAAGATAGTCATTTTCAGAGTCTATAAACCAATTTTGTCTTGTGCCGCTGTAAGAGCCAGGTACTCTGGAGCAAGGCAGATTGGAGGGTAGAAGATAGGACAGGAGCTGGGCCAGGAGAGACAGCTGGATTCCTTAGTAGCAGGTTCACACAGCAAATGATCATAGAACACTACGTACAAGCAGGAATGTACGACCAGTCTGAAGACCTACAATTCTGGATGAAGACATAAAACTTGGGGTGGAGCACAGGAATGGGCAGGCCCAGTGACTCTAACACTCATATGAGCTTGGGGTTCAGTGTGAAGGAAAAGGCAACTCTGGAAAGAGAAGTCTGAGTGAGCTGAGCCTAGGCCAGGTGTGCAGACCAGAGGGAGGGAGGCTGGGAGGGCACCAAGGCTGGTGTGCCAGTATAGACCTAGGGTGGGACAGTGTGGACCTGGGGTGGGACAGCAGAACTCCCACTTGGTCCCTTCTCCCAATTCCCAGCTCCATCGCCTGGTTTTCAGTCTCCGGCACAGCAAGGAGGAGCGGGAGGACCTGGATGCTGATGAGTTTGAAGGCCCAACCTCTCCCCCCGTGCAGAACGGGTACCAGGAACATACAGTACAGATGGAGGGTAAGGCATGCCCAAGAAGGTGGGCTTGGGCAGCCAGGGAAGCCAACCTCCATCAAACTAATGTAGGGCCTCCATTTCTTCCAGAGCCTCAGTCCCCAGCACCTGGCCTGTTCCATCGGTGCCTGCTCTGGTTCTGTGGAATGAGCAGGGGTGGGGCAGGGAGTCCTCCACCCCCTACTGAGGAGGAGGTGGCTGCAGTAGCCAGGCAGCTGGAGGACATCAGCGAGGATCCTGTCTGGGCCCGTGTGGTCAACCTTAATGCCCTGCTCATGATGACCGTGGCCATATTCCTCTGGGGCTTTTATGCATGAAGTCAAATGAATTGGATGACATGAGCTGCAACCAGGGCATCCCTGAACCTCACAAAAAGTAGGGGTGGGGAGCTTGTAATGGATTCTGGAAAAAGGGCAGGAATGGGGCAGGCAGATACTGGTTCCCTTTCTCTCGGCCTGGTGTCCAGGCCATTGGATCGGTCATCACTTCCCACAAGGTGGTGGCCAACTGGCCCTAACAGTTGGTCTACTTAAAAATAAAGCCGTCTTGCTGACATTCTGCTGTTGCCCAAGTGTCCTGGCTCTGGGCCCTCATCTGGGCTGCTCATAAGACCTTCTTTTCTGGAGACAGGGGCCATGTGGCCCTCCACTCATCCACCTCTAGTTGGTGCTTCTCGGTCTTCCAGCCAGCAGCCTGAAGTCCTAGGGAGAGGTCACAGGATGAAGCTGGGGACTCTGAGTTGACCCAGAGGATAGGGTAAGCAGATGGGAAGGCTCAGGCTGGGTACACTCCTTCGGCACTACTTGGGTTCCTCTGTTGGGTTGTTTGTGGCAGAAAATGAGGTTAAAATCTCATTTGGTTGGAGTTAGAAATTGTACATAGCACATGGAAAAGGGGCAAAATGAAGTAAAGGCAAAATAAAAGATGATCTTTAGTAAATGTGGACCTCCCATTTCCTGAACACCAACTGGTACGTTGACTATCAACAATGACAGAGCCTCAGAGACCATGACCCCCTGTCTTGTAGACAGGGGAACTAAGACCCAGACTTATTATCAGAGAGAGAAGCTGGGTCCTTTATCTCGTAGGGTTGAGGATAGGCAGGGCCCAGGGTTGAAGACTGTAGGGGCCAGGAAGCCATGGAGCCAATGGTACCTTTCAAGAACTTTGGGAACAGTGTGTCCAACACGTGATGTGTCTCCCTGACGATGATCCAGCTCTCTTTCTTAGGACCTGGGGTGCGGTGTAGAATCAGCTCTCATATCCTCAGCAGAATAGAGTCCGTCCTTCCCCCTCCCCGCTGTGATCAGCACTAGACCATGAAACTCTTACCAGCCCGAACCTGGTTCCTCAGCTCCTCCAACTCTCCTGGAAGTGGCCCATCTTCCTGTAGGGCTCCAAGTATCAGTCCATGTGTGGCAGCCCTTAAGATAGTTTCAGGGCCTGCCATCGGCCTCAGGACCACTTTCACCTGGTCTGGAGAGGCCCAAGGGACAGACAAGATCAAGATAGAACTGCTCAAATGCCTCACCCCCATCTCTGCCTCACTCAGCCACCTCTGGCCGTTTAGGTCTGGAAGGCCTCTTTCCACTCTTCCACCTTTTAGTTCCTTCCCAGGGCTTGACCCAAACTAAAGTGCTCAGTTTCCAAGTACAATTACACAGTAGCTCCATGAAGGGGATTTTTCTTTTCATTAGTGAAAATTAATGCCTTTTAGCACACCACCACCAATCAGCAATTCCAAGGACCACCTTCTCTAAGAAAGGACTTCAGGCATAAGACAAGGTGGAAGCCAAAGGCCTACAGTCTTACTATGTAAAAAGTGCTCTTCCACAATCGCCTTATTTGATTCTCGGAAAAATACCATAGGTAATGAGGCAACTGCTGTAGCTTCATTTTATAGAGGAATAAAATGAATTTCATTGGAGCATGAAGCTATAATTTGAATGCATCAAAGTTTTAGTCTAGAGCAACCTCTAGTTCACTTGGCGGCCTCTAAACTGTCCAGGGATTGGGGGCTTGGAGTTCGAGAACTGAAGTAGACTTTAGGCTAGGAGAATGTGGTGTACTCACTTTGAGACTGGTTCCAGCAAAGGAGGTAGGGTTCTTGATGTCCCTCAACCAGCTGCTTCAGCTCAAAGACACTGATGGAGAGAAGAGCGCACTGGGTGGGGGACGTGGGCAGAGTGCCCACTTGGTCAGACATAGCTGCAACTGTCCACATGCCATTGGGCTCCTGCCCACTTCCCACCTTCTTCTTAGCCACTACCTTTGCTCTACTCTCATCCCTCCTTCCTTCCTGTATGCAGCCCCCCATTCTCCCCATGACACCCTTCATCTAGAAACATCTTTTCAAAACTATTTAGTTTCATATGTGTACACCACACATACTGACCATCTTCCTACCACCACTCTCCACCTCCCCCTTCCCACAAATCTCTCATCAAATTATTGTCTATTTGTTTTGTGGCCCACTGAAATCATGGCCTTTTTTTCGGTCTTTTTTGAGACAGGGTCTCCCTGTAGCCCCAGCTGGCCTGGAACTCACTATGTAGACCAGGCTGGCCTTGAACTCACAGAGATCTGCCTGCCTCTGCCTCCCAAGTGCTGGGATTAAAGGCGTGTGCCACCATGTCCATTTTTATGACTGTGGGTTTGGAGCTATGGGTTGGAGCATGGTGGTTTCAACAATGGGCACACACCTAAAGACAGTGATTCCTGCCTCTCCCAAACTCTCTCAATAGTCAATAGTTCAGTGGTAAAAGGTTGGATCCTGTGAGTCCCTTGTCCTTCCTCGACTGACTGTTGATAGGACCAGTCTTGTGTGGGCTCAGTGCAGGCTGAGTTAATGACTGCAACACTATAGCATGCACTGGCTAGTTTTGGTTGTCAACTTGGCACAACTGAGTTACCTGGGAAGAGGTGACCTCAAATGAGTAATTTCCTCTAGATCAAACTGGTCTGTGGCCACGTCTATGAGGGACTGTCTTGACAGAACCGATTCAGGAAGGCTCTGTCTACTGTGGGTGCCACCATCCCTAGGCAAGTGAGCCTAGGCTGTATAAGAAAGCTAGCTGAGCACAAGTCAGAAAGTCATGGTGTTCTGTCACCATTTCTGCTTGAGTTCCTGTCCTGACTTCCCTCAATGATGGGCTGTGATCCGAGGTACAAGTCAAACAAATCCTTTCTTTCCCAAGTTGCTTTTGGTCACGGTGTCTATCACAGCAACAAAAACAAACTAGAACATATCAAGTGTAGAGAATGGCATTTCTGTAGCCCTTTACCCGCTCTCCAGCTTTTACAAATGTCTTGTTCCCTCTTCCATAATGCTCCCCAAGCCTCAGAAGGGGTGGTGTGACTTCTCTAGGGCTTGTTCCACATCCATCACTTATTCTGTGCATCTTGGGCAACCATGAGTCTATGCATTCGCTGCCATTTATTGTAAGGAGAGGCTTCTGATTAAGGCTGGTGCCTGCTCTAGTCTTTGGGTATATGCATAGATATTTAGGAGGCAGTTTGCTGCTAAAACACATCTACTCTGTTCTGTATCTTATTTCCCTGAAGAACTCAGGCTCATGTCTGAGGCCGGACAGTGGGAGTAAGAAACACAGACAAGATGGTGAGACCTGATTAGAGGAAGTTGGTGTGTAACTAAAAAGGAGCACGTGGGAAGTGTGTGAGGCAGCAGTGGAGTAGGGGGTCCTGGGCCACTCACCTGGACACCAAGTGGTGTAAGGGGACACCCAGCGACAGAGACAGGGATGGCCAGAAACCTGTAGGAAGCTGGAGTCAGGATGCTCAGTCATAGGGGGAAACTGGGAGACATGGGGCATGAGACCAAGGGGTTGGGTCACCTATCCACAGTGGCTCCATCTGATTGGCTGCAGCAGGCTCGAGTATCTCTCCTCTATGAAGGAAGTGCTTCAGGACCAGCCGGAGCCGGATTTCGTTTAAGGTCTCCAGGACAAGAGCCCGGACTGCCCGGTAGTTGGCGTAGATGTGGATGGCAGTGAGGAGGGAGAAACATCCGAGGCTGAGGCTGAGGTAAGAGAGTGAGGTAGCCACCAGAGGAGAGGCCCTGGCAGGGCATCTCTACCCCAGCCTCACTTCTGGCTTACCTTGGGCAATCTGACACCAGAGGAAGCATCAAAAGGCTGACCAGGAGCCCAGCTAGGTTCACCAGGGTCTCCTAGAAAATGGCAGAGAGGTTGAGAGTTAGAGGGCTCCTTTCCAGAAGGAATAGCCTCAAGTGCTTTTTACCACAGTCCTCACTGCTTCAGAACTGCCTGGGGCTCCCTATTCTGATGGGAAGGCCAAGGGCATTTTTATGGTTTTAGTGAACGAGCTTACCCTTGGGACACATCTTTTGTTTTATTTGAGTAGTCCCACAGTTGGGCACTCCTGACTGTGCAGGGAACTGGTTTTCTACAGTGTGTTAAAGAAGTGAGTCCCTCTCATCCCTTGGTATGCAATATTGGCAAATAAGTTTGCAGAGGGGTCATGGAACCTCTTAGGTAAGCAAGGAACAGGCCCCGAACTTCTTTGCTAGTGAATCAATGTAATCTAGTAGCCAGAATGAAGACACTCCAGGGGAAAAGACCTTTGGATGACTGCCCCAATGCATCATAAAGGAAGAAAATGAACTGGGGCCCCCAACTATTAGGGTTCCAGGGAGAGCTGGTCCTAGCACAGAGGGGCCCTGAAGCTCCAGAGCTCTTCCTTCTCCCAGCTCTCCTTGCAAAAAGTGGGCTGAGGGGATAAAGGCTGTACACGAGGCAGTGAACTGGGGATCCAGTCTTAGGGGTGCAGGGGTAAAAAGGACTTCTGTTTTGGGAGCCCGAGAAAGTCCATTCCAGTAGTCAGTACAGTAGCAGCAAAGAGTGCCAGCATGTGTCAGAGGAGGAACTGGAAAATACTAAATCAGGATTGACATGTGAGGAAGGCTGATGGCCTTTCTTTACTCTGGCATATAGTGAACACAGCATAGGCAGAAAAAAGTCCGAGAAATACTGGGGGGAAATGGGGGCATAAAAACCCCAACAAACCACACACACATGGCTTGGCAGGATGCTTTTTAGGCTCTTTCCTCAAGTTCACCAGCCCTTTTCCATTCTTGAAAGTGCCTTTCCCTTTCTTAATAAGCTATTTCTATCCCATGCCTAACTTTTAGGCATGACTCTTTTTCTCCTTTTCTCTTCCTGGAAGCTGCCAGGATTTTCACTGATCTCAGCTATGTTTTCCTCTTAAACACTAATTATCCTTGAGCTTCTTTCTGAGTCTGTTGCTAAATTCTTTTATTGGTGAGACCAATGACCCCAAAAGGGAACTTCAGTTTCCCTGGAAATGTAACCAGGAAGGGATTACAAGGACTCCAAGGAGTACAATGTCTCAGGTAAGTTCCTTTCAAGCCCCAGCTACCTTTGTGTAAGATTCCCTTTGAAAGCTAGGCATGGTGGCACACTCCTTTCCCTTTAATCCCAGCACTCGGGAGGCAGAGATCTCTGTGAGTTCAAGGCCAGCTTGGTCTACAAAGCGAGTTCCAGGTCGGCTGGGGCTACAGGGAGACCCTGTCTCAAAAAGATCAAAAAAAAAAAAAAAAAAGATTCCCTTTGAAGCATTCAGGCTTTATCTTTGGGTAAGTTTTTGAGTCTTGGTTCCACCAACCAAAGTAACTCTGGACTTGAGAAGCACATGCCGCTGATGATTCCAGGCAATTTGTGGCCCTTCACTCTCTGCTGGCAGGAAATGGTCCTTATGACCAAGATAAAGCTGGATTCCTATTGATTAGCCTTTCTTAAACTATTTCTTTTTAAAAAATATTTTTTACTTACTATTTATTAATTTTAGTGTATGAGTGTGTTGGCCTACAAGTATGTAAGTGCACCTGTGTCATGCAATGACCTTGGAGGTCAGAAGAGGGTGTCAGAGCCCCTGGAACTGGGGTTACAAATGGCTGTTAGCTGCCACATGGGTGCTAGTATTTGAACCCGGGTCCTCTGCAAGAGCAGCCAGTGCTCTTAACCACTAACCTACCTCTTCAGTCCCTAAACTATTTCTATTCCATGCCTAACTTAAAAGGCATGTTATTTCTCTATCTTCTCCTGGTGGCAGCCAGGATTTTCACCTAACCTATATTTTTCTCTTCAACTCTATTATTCTCAAGCTTCCTACTGAGTCTGTTTTTAAATTATTTTACTAATGAGACCAAGAACCCCAAAAGAGAACCTCAGTTTCTCCAGTAACAAGCAGGAAGCAATGGCCCATACTGCCCTTGTGATACATTAGTGCCTCAGGAAGGAAGCTCTGGAGAAACATAGCTTGGGGCCTGGGGGAGCCCTGGGAGCCAGGGGGGGCCAACACGAAGCCTGGAGATACTAGGGAGAAGGGTCTGGATTTTACTTACTTTATTTAGTTCAACCTTTTTCTGAGAGGAGGGACTTGCCCAAGGGCAACGAGGTGGACTCTGGACCTTTCTGTTTTATTTCCTATCTGTAAAATGGCTACAATGAATACTGCATGATAGCATGCTAAGGACTGAACACGCTAAGGACTGAATGAATGCGCTCAAGGAAAGGAAATACTTGGTATGTGATTAATGCTTTATGAAAATTAAATGAATTAAATTATTTCATTAATATTAATTATTACTGAGCAAAACAATGTCAGAGGCAGGTATATCGGACTGGCTAGAACAGAGGTTTCTAAACTACTTCAGTGTCAACAACAAAGAATAAATAAAAAAAAACGGCATTTCTGAGACCTTTACCAGGCCTTACTTCCCTCATCTGTGAAATAGGATCTATATAGCAGTGTCTACTTTACAGGCTGCTATGAGTTCATGTAAAGCACTTAGCATAGGCTTTGGGAGAAATCTAATACCAGTAGAATTCAGTATTAGGGCTGTCCCTACCAGCCCCATCCTGCTCTAGGCTCCCTCAGGTGGGAGGGGGCGGGGCCAGAAGGGCCTGCCAAACTGTTAAGTAGAGGCCTCTGGCTGGTGATCCTAGCAACCCCACATGCTGAGAACCTGGACTTGCCAACTTGATCAGGATATTCATCTCCCAGATCAGGGCTATGGCCTACAGAGGACAAGGGTAACTACTCCTGGCCACATAGGCAGTGGGCAGGGGCTGAGATCAGCTTGGACTTGTCACTGGAGCTATGCCCTCAGAACAGGGAGCACTTAGATTTCTTCCTGTATGTTCTCCACCCACCTCCTTCCCTGGGATACTCAAGGGTACTTTCTGTACTCCCAAACCATGGCCTGGCCTGGCCTCTTCCCTGCCCCACCCTGTTCCCCAGGTGCTAGCTGCTTACCTGGCTGCTGTCCTTGGCTGACACATCAGCCATGTTGTTTCTGCGGGCCTGGTGCATGGTCAGTGCAGCTCGAGTGGCCCCACCAGCCACACTCACAATGCACTGGGTGGGGATAAAGAGAAGAGTGTGGTCAGAGGAGCCATGTGCTGTGGCAGCACAGACCCATCTGTGGGTGAGCCCAGGAAATGACTCACACCAGCCTGAGAAAACAAGGGCTCTGGCGACCCTTACAACAACTTGAATCCTGTCCTCGGTTTCTAGTTCTCACCCTCAAGTCTTAGGCATGTTTTGTATCTTGTTCCAGGAGAAAACCAAAGTCTTGCCTGCCACCATCACCTTGTGGATTTGGCTGTAGGGAAATTAAATTTCCTTCCCCAAGGTGGAGGCCCAAAGATCCTCTTCCCCTTTGTCAGGGTCATGCTATGTCATCTACATTGCCCTTGAACTTGAGATCTCCCTACCTGTCTACTAGTACTAGAATTACAGGTGTATGTCACATCCTTAGCTGTGCAGAGATCTTTCTTAACCTATAACCTCCCATCCTCCCTTTCCTACTTTGGCTACAATTTCTCCCTTACAGAATGAGGCCCAGCCTGGCCTCCAATTTGGTGTTTACATTCTACCTGCCTATAACACCTTCCTCCTTCCTGTTCCAGTTTAGCCCCATTTGACTGTTTCAGGCCAATTCAGTTTACTCAAGTGGCCCTGACTTCCCCAGGCCCCTGTGGTCTTTAGATAGCAAAGCCCACTGACTACAGTCACTGATTATCTTTGTTCATCCTGTATTTATCAAGCCTCCTTCAGTTGACAGACACGGAGTAATATGCTATGATAAAAGTTAGACATATCCTTGTTCTCATGAAACTTATGGAGAAACAGTTACAAAGGTAGAGGAACTAGTCTGTTCAAAGCAAAAGAAAAGTGGCACAAAATGAGGCAGGAAGGACTGGCAGGAGACGGTGGTCTGGTTTAAGTGGTGCCCTGGAAGCCTTACTAAGGCTTTACGCTAGACAAGCAATGAGCCAGGGAAGTGACCTAACTTGTTTTCTACTTTTAAGATTTCATATACTTGTGTGTGTATGTGTGTGTTTATGTATGTACACACGTCACGACGCAAACATGGAGGCTAGAGGACAACTTGTTGGGGCTGGCTTTTTTCTTCCACCATATAGGTCCCTGGGGATGGAACTCAGGTTGTCAGGCTGGGCAGCAGATGCTTTTACCTGCTGAGTCATCTCACCAGCCCATGGATTTGCACTTTGACAAGATTATCGAACTGTTTTGAAGACTAAGGAAGGATGAGAAGGCAGCAGACTACCCAGGAGGTAGCTGCTTCTTCAGCAAGGTGCTGGCAAGGAGATGGGAGCAAATGGAGGAGTTAGGAGGGAAACTCCACAGAACTGAGTGGAGGTTTAGCTGAGGATGACACTGGTGGGGAGGCATGGATGACAGCCACCTTCTGGCTCATGTAGCTGTGGATGGAGTGCTGGTCACTGAGGTTTAAATTCTGGAGAGGGATCTTAAAGGGAAAGTTCATGTGTTGTTATAGTCCAATATTCGGTAAAGAATCCAAGGCCTCAACAGGAAAGGTTAGTGCAGAATTTGAAACACATGCCCAAAGTTACAATCCTTAATCCACAGCCACAGCAGTGGTTTCTCTTGGGGGTTTCTTACCTTGGTGATGACAGTGGGGTGAAGGATGAGATCCTCACAGTATTTATTGCTTGTCCTTGGACAAAAAGATCTGCTGTACCCCAAATATCAGAAGTGCCTTGTAGTACTACTTGAATGTCATGTTAAATGGATGGCCTTTGAGATGGGTCTGGTACTGAGTCTTGGGGCTTTATTGTGTTCTAGGTACCTTACTCTGGTAGGTTCTTTCCTGACAGATAGTCCTCTGTTTTCTCACCTGGATGAGGCCAATGTGAAGGAGCTGTGAGGGCAACTGAACACCATGGCAGAGAGCGAGCTTGCATTTGCCTCACTGGCCCTTTGGTCTCACTGTCTGATCTGTGCTGTTGAATTGTAGCACTGACTTCTGCAATTTCAAAGGTCTAGAATACCTACCCCGCACCTTAACTCCTTCTCAGTCTTCAGGACTCAGCCTCAGATAAGGCCTTCTTACATCTCCAGACCATTTTCCATCTGGGAAGCATGGAGCTATAATTCCATAAATATTTGTGTAACTGTGTAATGGGAGAGGCTGGGTTTTGTGCCACACATGCAGTAGGCACTGAAGAGATCACTAGTCCAGTGTTCTGAACACTGTCCTGGATTGGCTAGCTGAGGCACTAAGAACTGTCTGGCCAAAGGAGGACCAGAAAACCTGGCTGGGTCTCTGTAGGAACATATGAACTTTTCCCTTTTTTTTTAAGAAGTGCCTTTACCACAGGCCCCAGATAAGCTATGTACAACATCACTAAGGAAGGTATCTCTGGTACAGGGGTACCCCAGAGAAGGGTACCTTGGCCAGGTTGCTGATACTGACAGTCATGGTGAAACAGAGTGGGCATATGGGAGCCATAATCTCGAGGAACATAGCTATATCATTGAGGATGTCAGCAAAGAGCCTGGGGGAAGGATCAGAGGTTAGAGATCAGATACAAGAGATCTTTATAACAGGAGACTTTCCCTTCCCTCTCTCCCATCCCCTCCTCACCTCCACTGCTTTGCATTACAGTCCAGTTTGCTCCTGTTGGGGATAAGAGGCTGTTGAAATTTAGAAAAATCATGCTATAGGCTAGGAGATGGGGTGTCCTAGTCCATGCTGAGGTCTAAGGGGCTCGGGAATGGTGAGGGCTAAAGGGCTTGGGAAACACATTCCTTTAGCTAGACATCTGTGATGATGTCACTGTTAGATCACAGACCCTCTGGCTGCCCCTCTTTCTCCCCTATCTCTCTGGAACAGAGCTGATAAGAAATCATGCTGTGGCCTTGAAGCCCTTCCTCTTGCAGCTGCAAGGTAAGTTTAGGGTCCTATCTAGTGCCTGTCTCCCTGCCCCTTGGCAAATACACTAGGTCGAACTTGGTTATGTGGTATGAAACTTGCCCTGACTCCTCTGAAACTCTGTAAGTCAGAAATCTTTTGGGGGTGGGTTTCAAGGCTTTTCCTTCAGGCCCCTCATCATGCTGTATGTGGTGGTTATGGCTCCGAAGAAGCTTTTCTCCAGGTTTTGAAGGGAAGGCTCTCCCTTCAAGGATCCATCATGCTGTCCTGTGGTAGAAGTTCTATCCTTCCTACAATGGTCTCCTCCTTCATGGCCCCTGTGGTCATGAGGGTCTCTTCCCTAATAAAGCCCTTCTGAAGGGTAATTCTCTATCAGTCTCTTTCCTGAACCCGCCCTCTGACCTGCATTTTGTTCTAACAGTCATTAGCTGGGAGGGCCTTCAGGGATCACTGGTTATTTCCCTGTTCCTGGTTCCATGACTTACCAAGGAAAAAGCCCAACTGTTTACTGGCTGCTCTCTTACTCTCTGGGCACCCTTTGAAGGGGGTTATTCCTGGCTCCTCCCTTCTCCTTGTCTTCCTGCTTCATCAGGGGCATTCAGCACAAAGCCCATGTACTGGGGATTGTTTAACATTAAATCTAGTATGACTGTGCAGGTTTCAGATAACTATTCCAGATTCTCTCGGATCACAGGGACAATGAGTCGGCATGCGCAGGAGACCAAGGCACAAAGCTCCAGTACTCAGGCTTTGGACAGTTCTGTTACATAGCACTGTGGACAGCTACCTTTTCTGGCCCCATTCCAGAAAATTACTGTCTGGCCCATGCAGGAACACCTGGAGGCCATTCCTCTAAGACTTTAGTGTTCAGAGATGCTGCAGCTCTCAGCCCAGCTCTGATTTTGCATCATTAGCTCTGAATCTTAATGTGAAATCTCCCAGAGGGAAAGGGAGCCCCTCTGTATGGGATGATCACACACATACAGGGGAGCTGAACATATGGGCACTTCACCAGTTAACTAGCTTGATCCCATGGAAAGAATACAGGCTTCAGATTTTAATCCACCTCAGAAATTACAGGTTGAGTGGTTTGCGAAATAATTTCTTCTTCTAGGCACATTTTACATCTTTAAAGTCTCTCTCTTCCTCTTCCTCGTTTTTATTTTTGTTTTTTCCACGCACATGTTGCCTTGCACATGTTAGGAAGTGTTTCACCTTTGAGCTATATTTCTTGCCTTACACCCCTAAAATGTGCACATTCACTCCTACTCTTCAAGCTTATGAGGATTAGAGACAAATGGGGCACATGTTAAACACTTTGCATGGATTTTCATTAAACCTTCCCTAACAATTACAGAATAATATTATTACTATGGCTACTAATGCCATGCGGAAATGCTGCCAGAAGTGAACTGACTAGGAAGAGAAACTCACCCTTTCCACCAGGCAAAGATGATGCGGCCCATCATACCCGTTGAATCTGGGGATGAGAAGAAGCCATTGGTAAGGCAAAGAAGAAACTCAGGAGCTGCAGGGCCAGGCAGACCTGGGCACTGAACTGGCTGACTCACCCTAGGCCATGCTGCTCTTAGGAGCACATCTAGAAAAATTCTAGACAGGTTTAACACTGTGGGCTAGGACAGGGTCAGAAGTGTGTGGACTTTCAGTATGTACTCAAGAGAACTATGTGCCCATTTACACAGAGTAGATTAAATATTCTTTGCAACAGTGTTAGCCAAGCACTCTGAGACTATATCCTTAGTCTGCAACATTGTTAATAAGAGGAAAAAAACCTGGAGAGAATGCAAATTAGAGGATCCATAATCCTGGTATATCTACACAGTGGCATATTAGACAATAGTGAAAACCCATAAACCAACTACTCACATGGACACAGATAAATACTAGTTATAATCTTGTATGAAAGGTTAATTCATGGAAATGACACATAGCACAACATGCTTTTCAGAAAGTTCTAAAACTGTAGTGTTTAGGAAAATGTATCTATTTGGTACAACTATTCAAAAACTTAAATTTGTCTAAGGCTGTTTCTCCAACAAAATAATAGAATTGAATGGTTTGCAAAAGGTAAAACAGTTACTGTCTGGCCCTTTACAGAAAAAAATGGCTAATTAACTGGACTGAGATAGCATCCATTATGTCAGCAGGAGGATCACAAGGAAGGAATGTTTTAGAATCAGACAACTGGGCAGGACTCACAGGTGGGCACTGGAAAGGGTGGACGGACCCAGTGAGGACTATCTTGTTTGACTGTGAGGTAGAGAATGCAGAGAAGAAACTAGGGTTTAAGAACAGGCTGGGAACTTCTACCACACAGAAATGTAGGCAAACCCTCCCCTTCTCCACTAACAGTCTCTATTCATGGTGAGGTTTTCTGCTAGATAGGAGCTTAGTCTTGGATGGGAGACTGTAAGAGCTCTGGGACACTGAAGTACTTTCATCTTTCACAATCATCCTGTAAGACCAGGAGGGAGCAACCAAAGCTCAGAGAAGACATATGAACACAACTGGGGCATTTTACAAGAACAATTGTATTTACAGTTTTTCTGGAAAAGATACATAAGTGTGACACTGCCCTATCCAGGCTACTCTACTTCTCCATTTCTATCTCCTGCCTTGGACTTGGAACACCCATCGACTCGACTCTACAGGCATCCTCCTGCCCATAACTCACCTTAACTTCCTCCTTAAGTACATTACATTATAAACGAAATCTTCTTGTTTTGGATCGATTTGTGACTCCCTATTACTTGAAAGTCAGTACTCTCCACAAGAATAGGAAACTTAATTCTCACTTTCGCTCATTTGCCTTACAATGAGCAGAAGATCTAGAAACTTCCTACTCTTACTAATGAACTAGTAATCAGCTTTTCAAAATTCTATTTGGCTGTACTGTAAACTCCCTGGTAAAAGAATGGCAGTTAAGAATGGGACACAAAGAGGATGGAGAGATGGTCAGCAGTTAAGAGCACTGGCTGCTCTCTTCCAGAGGACCTGGGTTTGGTTCCCAGCACCCACATGGCAGCTAATGACTGTCTGTATCTCCAGTTCCAGGGGATCCAACATCCTCTTCTGAATTCTGTGGCCCCTGCAGGCATGCTCAAATATGCAGGCCAAACACGCATACAAATAAAAAATAAAAAGAATGGGGCACAAAGCCGGGGATGTTGGCATACCCCTTTAATTCCAGCATTCTGGATGTAGAGGCAGGTGTATCTCTGCGGGATTGAGGCCAGCCTGGTCTACACAGCAAGTTCCTGGCCAGTCAGGACTACATAGTGAGACCCTATGTAGTCTCACTTAAAAAAAAAAAAGAGATACGAGTTGGTTGGCTTGAGTCTAAATCCTGGCCCTAAATGACCTTAGCCAAGTGCTTGGAGTTTCTCTATCTGGAAAATAATGCCGTCTGACTGGCAACTGTAGGGATTAACACACACATTACATGTATAAGAAGACAAAATGTCCAGCTGCTGAAATATCAGCTGCTAACAGTATTGTCGGTCATGACAATTAAATCATTCCAATAGAGGTACGTAACTGAAAATGAACACATCAACAAATTTCAAAGCCAGGAGTGGTGGTACATGGCTGAAATCCCAGGGAAAGGCAAGAGGCTCTCAAGGATACCTTCAGCAATATGAGAAGTTCCAGGCCAGCCTGGGCTACAGAAGATCTTGTGTCAGAAAACAAAACAAGCCACAACAAAAAAACTCCAAAGGCACTATGTGGTGCTTTGCATACAATCATCTCCTTTGATGGAAACAAGCTTGTAAAATCCTTTCTGATTAAGAGGACTTCTTTGTGGGCTGGAGAGATGGCTCAGTGGTTAAGAGCACTGGCTGTTCTTCCAGAGGACCTGGGTTCGAATCTCAGCGATCACATGGTGGCTAATAACCATCCAACCGTCCGTAACTCCAGTTCCAGGGGATCCGACACCCTCTTCTGACCTCTGTGGGCATTGCACAACATGGGGGCATTTATACACATGCAGGCAATACACGCATATGCATAAAATAAAATTAATAAACAAAATATTAAAGAAGAGGGTGTCTTTGAACACCAGTCACAAGTTCTAAAGTGCATAATTTTCATATCTTAAAATGGTCTTAGCGAGGCTGAAGAGATGGCTCAGCGGTTAAGAATACTGGCTCTTCTTGCAGAAGACCTGGATTCAAATCCCAGTACCCACATGGCAGTTAACAACTGTCCATAACTCCAGTTCCAGGGGATCCGACAGCCTCTTCTGTCCTCTGTGGGCACTGCATGACATGGGTGCATTTACCTACATGCAGGCAATACACGCATACCCATAAAAATAATAAATAAAAAATTATAAAAAAATGGTCTTAGCTTATCTTAAACCTGTCTGAACAGAGCTCACACACCACACACACACACACACACACACACACACACACACACACAAAAGCTGGTGACAGAAGTGGGGCGCTTAGAAATGACACTAAAGCATCACTTACTGACCCAGACTCTAACTGCATTTTTAAACTTGGGTAGCAGGGGAGGCAATGGAGATGATCAAGCTAAGCATAGTATGGGCACTTCTATTTCTTTGCCTATAAGATGGGGATAATAGCAATAGCTGCCTAAGGCTACGATGAAGACTGGTAAATATAAGCCTGCTGTATAACAAGCAATTGGCATGAATTATCACCGCCATCAGGACAAGAAGCCATACCTACTTCTGCTCTTACATGCACTTTCCTGAGGTGACTCGCAGCTAAACGGTTTGCTTATTTCTCACAGTAAGGACACAAGCAGAAGCCTCCTGATCTCCAAAAGGCCCAGGGACACTCAGCAGTGTTGTTCCAGGCAGATGCAAGGAGAGAATATGCATCCCCCTAGGTTTTAAATATCCATTGGGAACAGTAGTGAAAGACGAAGGCCAGCAGTTCCACATGTCGGACAAGTGGCAGTTCTGTTTTCTCCTCTCGTTCACTCTCTAGGTAGCACGGTGGGTATCCAATATCTTTTTTTTATCTTGGTGATTTTTCAAAAGGCTGTACACTCTCAGTATATAGTCACTATAGTTATTACTGACAGCATCATCAAATACTTCAGAAGACTCAGAATACCTTTCATTATTTCCAGAACCTCACCTATTTAGGACCAGCTACCTCCCTTTTTCCCATTAGAACTATCCAATTTTCACCATTCGGAGAAGCTGGCAGTTTTAAGCAATGTTGCATTTCTATGCAACTCTGCATAGAGTAGGATTGGAGGGAAGGGACAATTAATTTAGGGATTAGGGACCCAGATGGAATTTGCATGGGGAACAAGTAAGTACATCTTTTAGGCTGGTTCACAGACGACGGTATTTCAGAAACTGTTCCGGACATCTGGAACATCTGGTCCTGTGTACTACCTAAGGAGAGAGCAACCCATAACCCTATACACACCAGGAGCCACTGTAGGCCGCCAGAAAACTGTTAACAGGCAGAAAGCAAGGGCTAGGCTTTGAAGTGGAGGAAAAAGAAGCCCGAGGGCAAGGTTGAGATGAAAAGCCCAGCTCACCTTTCAAGAGCCAGGTGGCTGTGGCAGCTGAAACAGAAGCGTTGGCATTGCCCACCCCTAATCCCAGCAAGACCGCATGGGTGGCCAGGGAGCCGGAGAGGCTGGAAGCAAAGGCCTGCAGGAAAATAAAGAGCTGTGGGTAGTGGTGGTGGTGGGCAGGGCCCGGATACTATCGCCAGCCCTCACTGGTGTGACCTGGGCCGCAGCTTTCCGTCTGCGAAGGCAGAGCCTGGAGTGGTCTGCCCCTGGCTGAACCCACGGGCCGCCCCTGCCCCGGGGCCTGGCTGACCTGCACCGAATCCCACAGCTGGTAGGGCAGATAATCCGGGCTGACGCTGTCCGGGAAGCCCTGCGGCAGGAACACCGCCAGCAGGCCGGAGAGAGCCTGCAGGGCGCTACCCCTCCTGCCGCCCGCCGCTGGAGCTCCCGTGGGGACTTCCCCGGAGAGCGCCCAGCGGCGCCAGGTGCCCCCCTCCCACTTCAGGCTCCCGTCGGGGGCAGCGCGGCAGCTGCGCACGGATCCGGAGCCGAACCGCTCGGAGCACAGCTCAGCGCCTGGCCCGCCAACCATCTCCGCGGTCTGTGATTCCAACAAACCAATTTCTGCTTGACTACGGCGGCTGCAGAGGGGCAATAATCTTCCTTCGCGAAAGACTTGGCTGACCTCCGGAGCCCCTTTACGGGCTTGGAAGCCAGACCTCTGCTTCCTCTGCCCCGCCCCCTCCCCCGCACCTGCCTGAACCGGGCCTAGTCTTCCTCCGCATACCCCTAGGTGGTAGCTGGACCTTAGGAGCAATGGTGGCCCTTTGGTTCTGAATCCTTAAATCTGACAATTTCAGTAATCTGGACAGGGAAAGATTGGTTTCCTAGGAAACAGTTGTATTTTGAGACTACTCAGCTATGTAAGTGTTAAGGTTCAGATAGCCCTGCCCCCTCAGCAACAGGATCCCAAGGACTTCTCATGCTCCTGAGAAAAGGGAACCTAGCTGATAAGCACCTTGGTCTTTGAAGTCAAGAGAAGCAGATTTTTCTCCACTGTTTGGCCAACATAGCAGGCTTCCCCTTTGATCTCCAAAGAGGACAGGTTTTAACAGTCCTGCTCTCCCACTCCCCGCCACCCCAACTTTAAAAAAATACATCTTCCTGTCTTCTGCAGGAAGCAGAAGCCTCCTTTTTAAAAGACCCCAGCTCAAGACATTTTCCGTGCCCAGAAGGGAATCTGCCCCATGTGTTCCTTTGCTAATAAACCCTATTTTGATAGAGTTTTAGCTGTGCCTCGGTGCCTCATCATCCATTCGCTGGTTCTCCACCAACTTTTTACATATCAGATGGTGCCATTGCTCTGTATCCTTCTGCTCTCTCTCCCCCTCCCATACTAAAGCTTTCTGCTCCCTGCTGTGTGCCTTGCCTGCCAGCCTGCCACATGTCTGACCTCCCATGCATGCTTTAAACCTGCATGACCCCAAGGCTTTTTTTTTCCTTCCTGTTATTCACCCCCTCCAGGCAGCTGCCAAGAGCCAAGATTGCCAGCTCGCCTGCCCTGGAAATATTTTTCTTTAACATTCTAATTAAATGATAAGTTTCCAGCTGGGCCCATTCTTAAATTCTCTTATAAATTTGGTTAAAAACCGTTTAGGGGACCCCCTTCTCCCCATTTTGACCCAATTAGCCTAAACCTGCTGGACAACTTTGCTAAACATTTAAATAATTTCAGACGACTTGCCCCATTGACAAAGAACAAACGTTTTAAAAGCCTTTTTTTCTCCTACACTTTTTCTCAGGCAAAGGGCCTCAAACTTTGATCATAGGCCCTCTTGGGCATCAAACAACTGGTACTCAGGCGCCTACTTTTCTAGCTAGACCTAACCATTTTAAATTTCACTATACATAAAAGGTCACAGGTACTGCTCAGGCGAGCCACATGCTTTCAGACCAACAAACACTGATTTATGTGCCCTATTCCTTCTGCTGCCTCATGAGTTTCTTTTCCAGCATAGCTGTGTCTACAAACTAAGATCCTGACAACTTGGCTTTGCATTCACAGCTACAATGCTTGGTGAGAAGCATGGATTCCTTTAATTTGCTTTTCTATTTGGGTCACATATACATACATATCTGAGGGTACTTTCTTCTTCAATATCAAGCCTAATCTACTGGTACCAGGGGTGCCTAGGATTCTCTTGCAATTTATGTTTTTGTTTCTTGATGATGTTATATAATAAACAATTCATTTTTAGTTTAAACTAAGGTAATAATGCCAAATCTACACAATGACAGTTTAAATT